TACTCCTCCAGCTTAGTCCCATTGTCAGTGACTGTCCTTACCTCAAGACTCAATTATAGCTGGGTGCAGTGGTGCACACCTGTACTCCTGGCACTCTGGAAGCTGAGGCAGGGAGATCTCAGGTTTGAAAACAGTAAAGGCTAAAGTCCAAGGTCAGCCTAACCAACATAATGAGGCCCTGTCTAAGCCCCCCACCACCAAACAGCCAACTGTTGTGCTTGCCTATAATCCTAGCACTTTAGGAGGCTGAGACAAGAGGGTCACAAGTTTGAACCCAGCCTGGGTAACTTTGCTACTTAGGGAGAGTCTTTATCAAGATAAAACCTAGGATGTAGGTCAGTGCCAAGGCCCTGGGTTTAGTTCCCAGCACTGCACACACACACATGCACACGCACATGCACATGCACACACACATATTAACAACCTTTACTCATATGTAATACAAATGTAGAGAAGCTTAAAATGATTGGCTAGTTTATGCAAACACATGCACAAAAGCAGACACAATGCTAAGAGAAAACGTGTAAAACTACTACTGCTCTTGTCTCTGCTTGGTCACAAGTTTCTGCTTGATACTCCTGGTTACTTCAAGTGCCAATTCTGTATTTCCCTTTTTAGTAAACATCACCTGTTCTGGGTTCTGTACCTGGTGGAATAACCCAAAACTTCATTCCCAGAGGGTCTAACTCTTGCATTCCTCTGTTTTTTCCGTTGAGAGCTCCCATTTACCTTTTCTTTGTAACACAGAAGTATTTAAGGCTCTAGACCTGCCCCAACTGTACAGCTGTACCCCGGTTTCTCTTTGGTACTTGGGATCAGTCGCTGTGGCCAGGAGATTAACCTCCCTTTATTTTGCCTCTGAGTGTAGGGGTTTGGTGACATATGAAGCTTGCAGTGACCAGGTGGCAAGGTCATTTCCAGTGTTTCAGAGGAAATCGGTCCCTATTAGGGAATTAAGTCCCTAGAACTGAGGGCAAAGATTCTGTCTGTGAGCCTGGGGGTGCTGCTCAGCGGTGGAGCACCAACCTAAAACTTGTGAAGCCCTGGGTTCAATTCCTAACACTGCAAAAAAAAAGTTGGGGATGTAGCTCGTTGGTAGAGCACTTCCCTAGCATGTGTGAGGTCCTGGGTTCAGTCTTCAGTACTGAAAAAACAAAAGTCAACACTGCAAAAAAAGTAAAATAAAGATTCTGTCTGTGGAGCTAATCCCACATTCACTCCTGCCTCCATGAGCTCCACTCATGTTCTGGCTGTGAGGAGACAGTGCAGCAGGAAGCTCCCTGTGCACAGCAGATGTGCCTGCCTTCTGCATGTCTGCAGCCAGGGACTCAGCCAACCACCAGCTGGAAGCAAATGTGACATTTCTGCTGACCTGCACTGCATAGTAAGGGCTGTGGCGGTCCCATCTGCACTAGGCATGCGCAGACATTTTTTCTTGTCATAATTTCCTGAACAATGCAGTCTCACCAGCATTTACAAGGCATTTGTGTTGTGTTAGGTGTTAGGTCACCCAGAGACACGGTAATGAAAAGCTGGGTGTGGTCGTGACGCAAGGCTATAATCCTAGCACTTGGGAGGCTGAGGCATGGGGATCATTTAAGAGTCTGAGGCCAACCTGGGCTACATAGTGAGTTCAAGGCCAGTTTGGATTATGCAGTTCAAAAAAATGCAGAAAGAAAAATGATCCAAGTGTTGGCAGGATGTGTACAAGCGGTGCACAGGTACTGTGTGGTTTAAATGGAGATTTAAGCACCTATGGATTTAGATACCTGCATCAGGCCCTGGAACCAGTCACCCAAGGATACTGAGGGGAAACATCTGTGTGTCCTGTGAGACAGTCTCATCCCTTCTGTGGTCTGTCTCCCACTGGCCCCACGAGTGAGGGCCCCATCCTGGAGATGGAATCCAGTGCTAGCAAGTGTTCTTCCGCTGCACCCCACTTGAGAGCCTGTACGTCTGCATCAGGACAGTCTACCTGTCGGGGACATGAGGTGCTCCTGAGTGACGGCGTGTCTAATGAGACCAGAGGCTCACGGGGATGTGTTACATGCCTTTGCTTTAGGGAATTCCTTCCCCTCCCCTCCCCGCTTCCCTTCTTTCTTTTCCATAGTGTGGGTTGAACCCAGGACCTAATGCTTGCTAGGCAAATGCCCTTCATCAGAGCTACACCACCAGCAGCAGCAGCAGCCCTTTTTACTTCTTATTTTGAGATAGAACCTCACTGAGTTGCCCAGGCCAGCCCAACCTTGTGATCCTCCTGCCTCAGAGTCTCGAGTACTGAGCTTATAGACATGTGCTATGACACTTGACTGAAGTGGGTTTCTTGATTAGAAGCAATGCTTTGTGGGGCTGGGGAGGTAGCTCAATGATAGGGTGCTTGCTACCGTGCATAGGGAAGGCCCTGGGTTCAACTGGTAGTACCAGCAGAGGTGGGGGAGAGGAGAGGAGAGGGGAGGGGAGAGGAGGGGAGGGGAGGGGAGAGGAGAGGGGAGGAGGGGAGGAGAGAGGAGAGGAAGGAGGAGAGGAGAGGACAAGAGAGGGGTGAGGAGGAGAGGAGGGGAGGAGAGGAGAGGGGAGGGGAGAGGAGAGGGGAGGGGAGGGGAGGGGAGGAGAGGAAAAAGGAGAAACAGTGCTGTGTGAATGCCATGGTGATAGATGAAGCTTTATTTCTTTCTTTTGGTGCCAGGTATTGAACTCACGACCTTGCGTTTGCCAAGCAGGCACTTACGCCGCTGAGCTAAACCCATGGCCATAGATAAAGCATTTTTGTGATTGCACAGGTGGCATTATTAAGGAAAGGCAAATCCGTATCAAGAACCTGCGTATATTCCCGTGAGCATAAATGTCCGTCAGCTGCTGTTATGTCTGCTGGGCGGCCCATGGGTCAAGCACCCATTGGCGTGGCTGGGAAAAGTGGTAGCCATTGCAGAGTGCGCAGTTTTGCCCGCATGACCCTTAATGGTCCCTTCTTCCTTTCCCTGCCTCCTTCCCTCTTTCCCCTCCTTTCTTCTTTCCTTCCTTCTTCATTACATACTGTGAATGGCACTCGTGCCTGCTAGGCAGGCCTGTATGGGTGAGTGATACCCTTGGCCCCGTGGTCTTATGTCCAGTGGATTCCCTTTGGTGGCCATTCACATAGGCCACAGACCCCTCACAGCCTGCACGCTCTCAGAGGTCGTCACAGTGCCACTTACAGATGTCTTTGTTACCAGCCACCGGGAGCCTCAGGAATCAGGCACGTGTGCTTGAGAACAGCTGTGTGGCTCCGCGTGGACACTGCTGCAGGCTCTGCCCCGGGAGACTGTCCATCAGCACTCCACTTTCAGGTGGTACCTGCATGTCAGAGTCCCAACTGCAAGGAGCTTGTCTGTTGGTCCTCAGGGTGGAAGGGAGCGAAGGGCAGGGTTTAATAAGATAAGGGTGCAGCAGATGTCAGTGCTCAAAAAATCTTTGCCAGCTGGATTACAGATGCCTGTAATCCCCCCGCACTTGGGAGGCCGGGGGAGCAAACCCAAGTCCAGCCTGGCAAACTAGTGAGGCCTCTCCCCGTCAAATAGTTAAAAGGGTTGGAGTTGTAGTTCAGCTCTTCTTGGGTTCAATTCCCAGTACTAAAAGAAAGAAAGGAGAGAGAGAGAGAAAGACAGAGAGAGAGAGAAGCAGAAGGACAGGGAAAGAGTCATGTCTGCACACACTAGAAATGTCAAGCTCACTGTTTTATATGCTGTTGCCATTTGATGGTAGACACTGTCGCCCAGACATATGGCTTGCCAGTTCACAGAACTTTCAGTTTATTTTGGGAAGCTCGAGCCATTTGATCACTTCATGTCCCAGTTGTTCAGTCTGCAGCATGTGTCAAGGCTAAGCACTGCACCGCTGAACTACACCAGACCCAACTCAGGTTTTAAGTGTAACTTCAACTCTGTGACTAACTCCTGGGGCACAGTTGAATGTCTTGATGACTGATAGCACCAGGCATGTTTATCGTAAGCCTGGAGCATGTGTGTGGCGCTGGGTATTAAACCGACAGCCTCATGAGTGGTAAGCATGCACTCCACTGCTGCGCTGCCCTTCCAGCTCTGCTGTAATGTAGCCCGATTTTGTCTCCTGTTTCTCCCTCGCCATTTCTTAGCCCTCCTGCTAATGTTTCATTGTGAAAAGCCACCAGATGATTCTCTGATGTTATGCATAGGTTATTTCTTATGTTTTTCACTGGAACTCACATAAACTCTTTCATGGAGATATTTCACTCAAGTAATGAGATCTTCTGTTCATTTGGAATAATCCTAGAGAAAATTTACACTTCTTTTTGGTACCAGGACTCGAACTCAGGACCTTGTGCTTGCCAGGCAGGTGCTTAGGCCACTGAGAGAAAATTTACACTTCTAAGAAAAAAAATCATGCCTCTTGTTGGTGCAGCTTTGTGGTTTGGAACAGTGTAGTACTCATTGTTTTGTTTTGTTTTGTTTTGTTTGCAACAGGGTCTCATTGTGTACTCTAGGCTAACCTTGAACTTGCTGTGCCACCTAGGTTGGCCCCACAATTGTGACCCTCCTGCCGCAGCCTCCAAAGTACTGGGTTTACAGGTGTGTGCCACCATACCCAGCTTTGTTCTCAGCTTTTAATTGTCTGTTATTTAACAACTGTTAAGTCAGTCATGAATGAATGCAAGGAAACAGGACTTTTTTTTAAAGACACTTTCACTAAATCAGTAAGTTCCCCAGACTGGACTCAAACTTGTGAATGTCCTGCTTCAGCCTCCCAGAGTGGCAGAATTATAGGTGTGCACTAACGTCACTAGGATGAAGCTTCTCTCTTCTTTTCTTTCTTTTTTTCCCTTTGCTGGGGATCGAACCCAGGGCCTTGTGCATTCAGGGCAAGAACTCTACCACTAAATCACATCTCCAACCCAGGAAGATGCCTCTCAATTCAGGCACATAAAATAAAAAAGTATAATTTATTTCTTAAAATTTCTGTAAAGCTTTTTATTTACTTTTCTTTAGATACTTCAGTTCATTAGTGTAATGATTGGGTGTTCATGCCATGTGCTAAGATATGTATGTCTCCCTCAAATTTTGCTACAACATTGACACATTACCTGTCTGACCTGCAAAAAAAAAAAAAGTTTTTAAAATCTGTGGGGTTTTTTGTTTGTTTGTTTTTGTGGTACTGGGAAGGCTACACTGTACCCCAGCCAGCACTTTTGGTTTTATGTTAAGTCAGGGTTGGCATTGAACTTGTGAACTCCCTGCCTTGGCCTCTCTAGTGACTGGGATTGCACACACGCACCACACACTTGGCCATATAGTTGTGCGTGTATGTATGTGTGCGCGCTGGGTGTCAGAGACCTTGTACATGCTTGGCAAGTGTTCTACCATGGCACCTTGCTCCAGCCCTGTGCAGTATTTATGAAGAGAAATATTACAAATGAAAGTGAAATGTTGGAAATGCAAGTGTGGCATAGGAAACACAAGCTTCCTAACGTTAATATATGCCTTAACTTCCAAAGAGTTCACGGATAAAGAAAGGGTGGTCTGTACGCATGTAAAGCATGACATGAGATGAAAAAAAAGGTATATGTTTTCTCCAAGTCTAAGGGAACTAGCAAATATTGTGCCTCATTTTTGGGACAGTCAATGTAAGGAGCAGGAACTTAAAGTGAATCCTTGTAGGGATTGTGTAGACATTGTGCAGACCCTGAACTCCCCGAAACTTCTTTAAGTTGGCTGGTCGCTGAATCAGTTAGGGTATTTGTGTTGTTAAAAAGGTCTTTGAACTATTGATTATCTATTGGTCGATGAATCCATTCTGCACAGTATTATTCTGTGTGATGGTTTTGGCCTCTCAAAACCATTGACCCCATTTTGGCATTGGGCAGGAGACTTATGTCATCTGACAGCGCTGGCATGCAGAACCCCGGAGTCTTTTCCAGCATAGTGTGGAGACTGGGCCGTTATCTTCATCTCCACTGGTAGCCGGATCCCAGGGCCAGCTGTCATGCTCGTTTGCTTCAGCAAAGACATTTAGAGCAGCAGCTACAATTGGAGTGACTGACTGCCTGGGATTCAGTGTAAGACAGTCTAGGCTTTCTCCAGGACTCACGTGACTTCTGCCCAAACCTAGAGTAGTGTGCTTTAGGCGTTGGGAAATTCCTTGTACCTCTATTGGCTTCTGCTACCATAATGGCCCTCACCTTGTTGGTCAGGTAACCAATTTTAGGTATGCTGCCAGTTCCCAAAAGTTCTGTATCCCATTTATACATTTAGCAACTGGGGAAATAACCGAGACTTGGGTCTGTGATTCAAATGCGCCCTCTTTTAATTCTGTTGTGTTAAGATACAATATATCACCTGATGCCCATGGCTTCTGCTTTCACTGCTGGTGGCCCATAATGGTGCTTTCTCGCAGTACTAGGCAGTGAACCCAGGGCCTTCACAGTGAGCTACATCTTTATCCTTTTAAAAAATTTTTTTGGTTTGAGACAGGGGTTTTGCTAAGTCGATACACTGCCCAGGCTAGGTTTGAACTTTTAATCTTCCTGCCTGAGCCTCTCAGAGAGCTGGGATTACACGCATGTGCCACCATACCTAGCTCATAATTGTATTTTGAGGCCCCAGGACATAGTATCACCTCAGAGTCACTTTGGGTATATTTTCTTTTGCCTCTATATAGTCATTCAAATACTTAACTGAGGTTTCATTGAGGAAAACAAAGATAAATGTATAATATAGATTATGTTGATAGTACAGGGTCTTTCTCTTGATATAGGCCTCTAGGTTTGTGAATTATCTAGGCGTAAAAAATGCTGTGACTCTAAGTATAGAAAATTTTTGAATCAAGGAAGCTTTTGGCTACCAGACTTGAGACTTTTTGTTACATAGCTCAAGAAATATTCCAGTACACAGGTTAACACATCAACCTGTGGACTGTTTTTCTTTGTTTGCTTTCCTAAATTGTTTTACTAATTGTAGGCACTCATTTGTTTGTATATCGTTTATGGTTTATTTCAAACTACAAGGAAAGAGTTGGGTGGTTGTAACAGAGATGATGTGGCCCACATGCCCAAAATTACATGCAAGGTCCTTTACTGCAGGATTTGTTGATCTCTGCGCTATTAGGCAGTGTATTTATTTCATAGTTGAGGATCTCATGCCAACGTGGCCATCCATCACTGACAGGACAGGTCATTTTCGGAGGGAGGGTAGTGAGACAAGATCTTGCTGTACAGCCAAGGCTGGCCTGAACTTCAGACCCTCCTGGCTCAGTCTCCTGAGTTCTGGGGTTACAGCTACGCACCACCACACCCAACTCCAGACAGGCTATTCTGGCTAACGGTATTCCCTACCTGCCCTTGACAGCTGCTAGGATCCCACTGCTTTTTCAGAGGGTGAATGTTTCCCACTTGATGCTCTGGGTTTTCTTCATCCCCATCAGTCAGAGAATTCGTCCCTGTGAGTCTCCTACACTCACAGCTGCTCAGTGAAGGAGAAAAACTATAGAACTTTTCAAGAATGAAAAGTTCCTCTCACTTACCTAACCCTAAATACCTTCATCACAGAGTGACTTGTTGGTCTTTAACATATGTGGATGAAGGGGCATGGAGAGGTCACAAATGCTAAGTCCACGTCCCTAATCACGAAGGTTTCCTCCTCAGTTGCTGGGGGAGCTCTGGCCATATCAGGCACTTATTTAGAGGTCAGTACTGAGTCCACTTGGTGAGCTCGGGTGAAACGTAGAATATCCAGTCAGTGGTTTGATGTCAGTGAATTTGGCTCAGTGTAAGGACATCGCCCACTGGGCTTAGTCCAATGCCCTTGCAAATGCAGTCTGTACAGTCGGGCAGGTTTTTCTGCTGTTGTGTGAAGTATGATCTCCTGCGCTATGTGGTACGGCGTGTGGTTCCCCTGGGGTTTGCTTAGTTGTGACTCTGGGGACAATCACATTTTTCTTCAGAAAAATAAGCTTGCCCTTCCTAGGTATCTGCCTCAAGTGAGATGATCAAAGGGTCCTCAAGCAGACCAAGGCTACTCTTCTAGAAATCAAAGGGCAAAATATTTCCGTGTTAAGGAAGCCTCAGATTGTCCTGGGGGGTTGAGACTGCGATTCTTTTTTCTGGGTCCCACTGGCTGCCCTCACTGTGTGTGTCACAGTCTCATTTTTATTGTCAATTTTGTTTACTGTTACTATTTTCATTTTAAAATTTTATTTTTCATACTGGGGATCAAACTTGCAACCTCATGCTGGCCAGGCAGGCGCTTATGCCACTGAGCTATATCCCTAGCCCTGTTATTATTTTGCCATGCTAGGAATTGAATATACAATGTTATACTTGTTAGGCAAGTACTCTACCATTGAACTCTGTCTGTCTGTCTGTCTGTCTGTCTGTCGTCAGCACCAGAGCAGTGATGGCAAAGCTTTCAGAGTTTACATTGATAACAAGCAGCCCACCGTGGCACATGTGCCATAGCTTTGCCCCCACTGTACTAGGATTGAACCCAAGGCCTTCATACTGAGCTACATCCCCAACCCTTTTTATTTTTCATTTGAGACAGAGTCTTGCTAAGTTGCACGTCTCCAGACTGGGTTTATACTTGGCAGTCTTCCTGTCTGAGCATGCAGAATGCTGGGATTATAGGCTGTGCCACCAGGCGTGGCTCCTATTTATTTGTTTATTCCTGAGACAAGATCCTGGTGTGTTCCCAAACTAGCCTTGAACTAGCTCTCCTCCTGCCCTAGCCTCCCTGGTACATGTATTCCAGCATATTAGAAATGTTACAATTTCCTGTTTTCCTGGTCCTGTGTGTCACTCATCTGAAGTGACAGTGTACCACTGTGATAATCCTGGTCTCTGCCATAAATTCTCCTCATCACCATCCCCTGACCGTGGCTGATTGGCATTCGAAGGCACAGACAGAGTCCCTTTAAGAATTCTGCTGGTGTGCCCTGCCTAACCCAGTGAAGAGCCCGTGGATCTTGGCTGCTATCTGCTTGGTACACCCTGCTTCACTTAGTGTCCTGTACACCCTCCTCTCAGGGACCAGTGGGTACCGTAACATGCCTCTGTGAGGTCCTTGGCTGCGTCAGAGCAATCCTGAGGGGTCATGTAAAGGAGCCTTCCTCTCCCATTTACAGCATGTCACATCAGCATGGCTGGTGTCTGTCTGTCTTCCTCCCCTCCCTCCTCTTTTCTTTCTTTCTTTTCTTTCGTTCTTTCATTCTTTCTTTCTTTCTTGAAATATGGTCTCACTCTGAGGCCCAGGGTAGCCTCAGCCTCAGACCATGGCTGCAATTAAAGTTGTTCACTTAAAACTTTGTGTTTGATTTCCACCAATAGCTCTAGGTTCTTAGATCTTGAATTGAGCTGCAAGTTGGCAGACTTGAAGTTTTTAGTTTTTGCATATATACGATCAAATAAACCGTCATTGGCTGGGTGTGGTGTTAACGTGCCTGTCATCCTACCACCTGGGAGGCTGAGGCAGGAGGATCATAAGTTTGAGGCCAATCTGGGCAACTTAGTAACATCCTGTCTTTAAAGAAAACATCTTTTAAAAAGGGCTGAGCGTGCCTCTTAGCAGTACAGTGCATACTTAGCATGTGGAAATCTTGGGTTTCATAACCAGTGCACGCACACACACCTGCAGGTTCAGATATCTATGTTATTCCAAATGTACTTAAAAGTTTTCTGATAACAGAGTCATGTTCGTTTTTATATTTCAACTTGAATTTGTCATGGTTAAGCAAAACCTCTTCAGTCATACTATGTCCCTGTGAAGGGATCAGACATGGCACTGGTGGCGACTGCAATGTCTGTTCTTTTGAAGGAGTAAAACAACCAGAGGAGGTCAGGCTTCTGGAACAAAATTAACTTCTCCCAAGCCCTGGTTCATCACTTCCACACTGGATGACCCTCGAGTGTTCAGTACTGGCGTCTGAATGTAGGTTTCCTTTGGTATTAAATATGGGTCACAGAACCCACTGCATAGGACAGGGGTGATGATTATATGACCTGATATGTGAAAAGGCGGCGGAGCAGCCTCAGATCTGCAGTAGATGTTGCTCAGTGTCCAGAGCACTATTGATGGTTAGGGGACCATTTTCAGAGGGTTCCCCATGTGTTATCTGCAGGGAGACAGCACTCATGCATGATGTTTGATTTCACAACTGATATTCAGTCTTCACTCGATGATTGACACCAACAGGACCCCATACAACCCTGGATGAAGAGGAATGGAGGTCGCATCTCTCTGCGTGGATTCATAAGCTGCTTGGAAGTGGTTTCGGCATCAGGAAAGAGAGTGGCCTGGCACTTTCCAGCAGCAGAGCCACAGAATGGCAGCTGTTGATTTGTCGGAAGGTGAGAGCTCCTTGGTGCTGTTTTTCAGAGACTCTGGCTTAGATCTCCCCTGACAGCAGAGACCAAGGGCAGGACCTTAGCAGCCATGCTTGTGGCTCATTTGAAACACAGAATTTTATAGCTTGGCCCTCCCTAGGGAAGTGGCTGCATAATCCTCCTGAGTTCTTATCACCACAGGCAGATAGAGTCCTATTTTTCAGGACTTAACTTCCCTTCCCTATAGAATGAGACTATTATCCTTCCCGCGTGGGCAGCACGGCTCGTGGTCAACCCCTCTGGCTGTAGACTTTAAACGTGACCACTGTGTACTGGGCTTAGTGGCAAACTGTTATAATCAGAGCTACTCCGGAGGATAAGGCAAGATCAAGGGTTTGAGGCCAGCCTGGGAGACTTAGCAAGATCCTGATTCAAAATAAAATTGCATTAAAAAAAAAAGTTACACATGAGTTTGATTGATTATCAATACTGGGAGTCAAGCCAATGGCTTACACATGCTAGGCAAGCACTTTTCCATTGAGCTGTAACTCTAGCTCAAAATAAAGCCAAGGACGGATGGAAGGATGGAAGGAAGGAAGCACGGATGGACAGGAGGAAGGAAAGAAAGAGAGAGAGAGAGAGAGAGAGAGAGAGAGAGAGAGAGAGGGCTGGGGATATGGTTCAATGGTAGAGCAGCTGCCAAGGAGATGTGAGACCCTTGGTTAAGTAAATCCCTAGCATTAGCAAAACAAACAAAATGTGACTACCATTACGTTTTATTCCAATGGAATGCATTTGTTTGAGTTTTCCTGAGTGTACAGTTACAGGGGAAATTTCAAGGTTGGGTGAGATGATTTCTTGACCTGTGAATGCAGGATTTTTGGGCAACTCTGAGTTCTGATGCCTCCTCCTTTCTTTCCACCAGGTCTTCTCTACACTAAACCAGTCTGCTTTTATGAAGACGAGACAAAGGTCGAAAGTGTGGTGACTGACTACGAGGCGGACTGTTACCAGGTAAAAAGAAAGGACACCCTTCTACAAAACGGAAATCTCCCGCCAACTAGACATGTTTCCTTCTAGGCATGCTTGTCTCCAGAGCTTTGTTTTGTTTTTTGAGGCAAGGTTTCACTACGTGGTTCAGGCTGGCCTTGAACTCACTTTGTAGTCTAGGCTGGCCTTAAACTTGGGGTGATCCTCCTGTCTCAGCTTCCCGAGTGCTGGGATTATAGCCACGCACCACCATGTAGGCTTTCCAGAGCTTCTTAAAAAGAAGTAGAACCTCAAGGTGTGATTACCCAGTTGAATTCCCCCATAGAATGGAGCCTTCTATTGGTGAAGCATTACCTTTAAAATCATTAAATTAGTCTTTTTTTTTTTTTTATGAGAGCAATGGGGTGAGGCCTCAGGCAGTCTAGGAACACAGTCTACCACTAAGCCACATCCCTGCCCTCCTTGAGCTGCATGGTACCAACTACATGTTGAGAGCTACGCACCAAATGCTGACAGCCGATAAGCAGATGGAAGGTCCTTTTCTCGCAGAATTTATTCATTGGCATTTATCAGTTGTTTGCAGCATGCTCAGGGGTGAGCTGCTGTGGGGACAGACAGAACAAGACGCTACCAGTCCGGTCGTGCTGTGATGACTTGATGTTTACCAACAGATGCTGAAGGGTATGGCAGTAGGAGGTTCAACAGGCAGTGAGCTTGCAGGGAGAGACAGGGGTCTTGGGACCGTTAAATCTTGGTAATGGACTGCGGGAGAACTCAGAACCTCGCATAGGCATTAGCTCTCCTTCCTAACTCTCCAGTAAGCGCTGGCAGAACCGCTCACTGGCTCAAACCACCGTGTGTGTAATGGTTTAGGACTCAGTGACCTTTGATGATGTGGCTCTGGAGTTCACCCAAGAGGAGTGGACTTTACTGGACACGACCCAGAGAAACCTATACAGAGAAGTGATGCTGGAGAACTATGAGAACCTGTCTTCAGTGGGTAAGATACCCGTGTTGCTTGTGGCTTGTAATGGAGCAAACACATGCCTATTACTGTCATAGCAATTCTGAATACAGTGGGAAATGACAGAGCTATATCTGTGCCATATTACATTTTAATCTGATGTGGTGACTATTTTTAAATTCATTATTATTATTATTTTGCTAACTGGGAGTGGAACCCAAGACCTTTACCCTGAGCTCCATGTCCAGCCCTTGTTTATTTTGTATTTCGAGACAGAGTCTCACTGAGTTGCCCATTCTCAGCTACCATGAGGACTTTGGTACCATGGTACCATGGTCCTTAAGACCTGTTACGAATGTACATTTCCCTTCCGTGCCCTTGACAGACTCACTTGGCACCTCTAGGGGCAAGCCTCAGTCATTGGTTAAGATTAGGTAACACATTCTAAGGTTTGAGAATCAGTGGCAAGAGTGGTTTCCCCATGACAGCAAGCATTTTTTTTTTTTTTGTACTTTATTTGTCTACTTAAGCCTTGGTGTCTTGTAATGTGCTTAGCAGCCTGCATTTCATTTTAGGGGTTAGAGATAAGCTATTTGTTACAGGCCCAGGAATGGGGATATGTATTTGCTTTTTCTTTTTGGTGCTGATGACTGAACCCAGGGCTCACATATGATGAGCATGCCTTCTACCCCAGCCCCTGGCATTTAGTTTTAATCACTTTGAAATAAACACATTGCTTTCGTCAGAGCTCTGATTCCACAGTCATAGGAAGGCCTGCCATCCCTTGTATGAGCCCCTTCCATTCATGCATCTTTTCACCTGTGCAGGATACCAGTTCTTCATCCCTAGTCTGATCTCCTGGTTAAAACAAGAAGAACTAAACACAGCAGAAAGCGGAGTTCTTCAACGTGAGTATTTGTGAAGACAAACCTTGTTTTATGAGTTCAGTATGCTTTTGCAAGGACAATGAAAGATTTTAAAGATAAATTTTATTTCAGAAGATTCAAGTCATAATATTTTCTTTCCATTCAAACATTCTGAGGGTCTCATAAAACTGCCTGTTCTGATCTATCTTTATCATTTCAATGTAGAATCTTTTTCCAGATTTTTCTTTTTTTTCTGATAACCTTCACTATAAATCTCTTAGAATCAGTTTGTAATAAGCTATCTAAAATATTGATCTTACATTCTTTTTTTTTTTTTTAATTGGTACCAGGGATCAAACTCACGACCACCTGCTTGCAACGGAGGTTCTTATGCCGCTGAGCTAAATCCCCAGCCCCTGATCTTACATTCTTATTATGGTCTTTATTTTTTCCCAGTGCTATGGTCAAACCTAGACCCTCAGTTAACATTAGGCAAGGGCTCTCCACTGAGCTACAATCCTACCCCAATGTCAGCTTTTCACATACCAAAATCCTCAAAGATCTCTGTTTTTATTTTCTTACCACATTTAACTTGAAAACAAAGACAAATGACCCTGATCACTTTTTTTTAATCTTTTTTTTCTTTTTTTTTTTTTTTTTTGTCTTTTTTAGTTTTTATCGGTACCAGGGATCGAACTCACGACTGCCTGCTTGCAAGGCAGGTGCTTATGCCACTGAGCTAAATCCCCAGCCCTTGCCCTGATCACTTTTAAGTCCTTTATCTACCATTTATTTCTCCAAATCCCTGTTTTTCTTTCTGTTTAACTTCAGAATTGGAGCTACAACCAACAACCAAAGGACCAGAATTTGAGGATTATTTTGGGGAAGAAACTTCCAAAGAGATGGAAATGGTACGATTAACCAGGGCTATTTCTTGCTTTTCCTTTCTTTCTTTTTTTTAGCAGTACTGGGGATTGAACCCAGGGTCTCAAACATGCTTGCTTGCTTTTGGTACTGGGATCGAACTCACAGCCTCATGCTTTCCAGGCTGGTGCTGTGCCACTGAGCTATATTCCCAACCCTCAGGGTTTCAAACATGGTAGGCAAGTGGTCCACAACTGAACTGCACATGCAAGAGGACATAAGAAGTCCTCTTATGTCCCACTCGCAGAAAAGATTAGAAATTCCTTTGTAGAAAATCAGCACACATGAGTGATAAGTGAGAGAAGTAACATGCACCAAAGAGAAAGCAGTGCTCTGGGGAGATACTCTGAATACCAAAACACGTAAATAGGCAACCAGACACGGGGTTTACAGAATTTTTTTTTTGTACCACCATTCGAACTCATGACCTTGTACTTACCAGACAGGCGCGTGAGCCACTGAGCTAAATCCCCAAGAAACAGGGTTTTTAACAATTTTATGAAAATGTAGTTGTTTTACAATTAGAGTCCACAACACAGGATTCTGGCAGAAGAATCCATAATTCAATTTGGAAGAAATAAAGAGGTCAGGAAATGGGGGCTGGGGATTTAGCTCAGCGGCATAAGCGCCTGCCTTGCAAGCAGGCAGTTGTGAGTTTGATCCCCGGTACCAGTAAAAAGGAAAAAGACAAAAAAAAAAAAGAGGTCAGGAAATCAGTGCTTATAAAAGCAATCATAAAAAATCATTATAGGGGCTGGGGATTTAGCTCAGCAGCATAAGGGCCTGCCTTAAAAGCAGGCAGTCGTGAGTTCGATCCCTGGTACCAATAAAAATGAAAAAACCAAACAAATAAAAAAAATTAAAAAAATCATTATAATCATTGAAGTGTTTTTTACCTATAAAATCTCATATTTCATATGTTTGAAAAAATCCTTGGTCCTCCTTTATCCCTTCATCCACAGGCAAGCCACGGTGGAGAGGAGCTCTACAAATACAAGCCATACGGAGAAGTCTTTGGTGAACAGTTTTTCCTTAATACACACATGAGCACACAAAACCAAGAATATACTTCTGGGTATATCTGGTATGGCGAAGACATCCTTAATCTGCACCAGAAAACCTCTGCTGCACAGAACTTTTCTGAAATTGATCAGTATGGAAACATCTTCAGCCTGACTCCGAATATTGCATATGAGACCACATGCATGAGAGACAAGCCCTTTGAGTGCAGGGATTGCGGGAATGCCTTTTTCAGTCCCTCGTACCTCCAGATGGATCTGAGTACGCATCATGAAGGAAACCCCTACGAGTGGAAGAAATACGAGAGCGGATATATTCATCCCACCAGCCTTGCTGTGCATCTTCAGATTTTCAATGGAAGCAATCCCTACAGAATGGAGGAATTTGGAAAGGACTTCCAGTATTTTCCATGCCTTAGTAATCCCATGCAAACACATACTGAACAAACGCTCTGTGAGTGCAAGGAATGTTGGAGAGCATTCACAGTTCCCTCCCACCTGAACCAATATGTAACAGTTCATTCTAAAGAGAAAAACAAAAAATGTAAGGAATGTGGGAAGTGCTTTGCTACCTTTTCTCAACTGTCTGCACATGTAAAAACTCACAGTGATGAAAAGCCTTTTCAGTGTAAGGAGTGTGGAAAGTGCTTTAAAAATAACACATACCTTAACGATCACATGCGAATTCACACTGGAATAAAATCATACAAATGCGTGGAATGTGGGAAAGCCTTCCTGAGGTGGTCAGGCCTGACTGAACACCTACGAGTTCACACTGGAGAGAAGCCTTACGAATGTAAGGAGTGTGGGAAAGCCTTCTCGAGATCCACTCAGCTCACTGAGCATATCAGGACCCACACTGGAGTCAAACCCTATGAATGTAAGGACTGTGGGAAGGCCTTCACTCAGTACTCGGGCCTTGCTACCCACGTCCGCATCCACAGTGGAGAGAAGCCCTTTCAGTGTAAGCAGTGTGGGAAAGCCTTCACTAGGACCTCAGGCCTTATTCACCATGTGAGAACACACACAGGGGAGAAGCCTTTTGAATGTATTCATTGTGGGAAAACCTTTATTACTTCTTCCCATCGTACTAAACATTTAAAAATTCACAGTGGGGAAAAGCCCTTTGTGTGCAACATCTGTGGGAAGGCTTTTGTGTATTCCACATCCCTCAACATTCACATGCGAACACACACCGGAGAGAAACCTTACATCTGTAAGGAATGTGGGAAAGCGTTTGCTGTTTCCTCCCGCTTAAGCAAACACGCAAGAGTTCACCATGGGGGGAAGGCCTACAAATGCGAGGGGATCAGTGTTGCTATTTAGCCCCTCCATTGCCACTCTTAAATATTGACAGTGACACCAAAGATCATCAGATTAGTCTTAACTAATCTGTGTGAGTTGTAACTCCCACTGGCATAGGTGCCATCCTAATCGTAGGAGATACAATACGTAGGTCCCTTGTGGAATTTTGGCAGTGCTGGGGATTAACCCCAGTGCCTCATGCATACTAGGTAAGTGATCTACCACTGCGCTGCATTACTGACCCTTCGACCTGGTTCACACAGCTGAGTGTTAGCTCTTGGGAGTCATAGATGAGGTCACCACTGCACATCAGCCTCGTTTGGTGCTTGGACCCCTGGTGAAGGTAGCATTAATAAAAGCTTTGCACGGGTGTCCAACCTTTTGGCTTGCTTGGGCCACATATACTATAGTTCATGTATATAAGTAATGAGAGTTCCTTTATTTTTTTACATTTTATATGATAATATTAAAACAACACAAACAGCTACAGGCTGCAGGGTGGATATGCCTATGTAAGATAACTGAATAGATTTGGCCCTACCCCTTGTTGGTTCGTGGCTGCCAGTGTGGCTACTCACAGAGAACTTCTTCAGAAGTCAAGTGGAACAGGACCAGGTAGACTGTTGAAAGACACTGGTGTGTCCCCAGCCCCCACTTATTGTGCTGAGTGTGCCAAGAAAGAAATGGTCCCTACCTGTTCTTCATGGTGAGTCCACGTTTGCAGACAATTATCCCTGTTTTCTCCTAAAATCTAATAAGTTCACCTCTCTAACCTTCTGTCTATTTTAGATCTAAGAGGCAATTTCTGTGCTAATATAATCCAGTCTATTCCTCACTGCTGTTGAGCTTGGTAATATCCCTCCTTTGGGTCCCAAATCATCTTTCGGTTTAGCTATTTTCTTTAGATAGGCTGGAAGTTTCCAGATTTCCAGTTCTGTTGCCTTTTTTGCTTCCCAGTTCCTTGGGATTCAGTTCTCCCCTTATGTGTTTTACTAAAGGTCAGGTGGAACCAAGCAGTTAAAAAGCAAACCTCAAATGTCTAATTTTATCACTCCCAAGTTCTACCTGTCACAAATCACTGGCCTGTAACTACGTTCGACCAAGATCTTTATGATTTCATATTAAAGAGCTGCCTCTTTTCCGTCCAACTTTCTTTTTTAGTGGTGCTAGGGATTTAACTAACCCATGACTGAGCTACATCCCCAGCTCCAATTTTTGGTTTCTGTTTGTTTTTGTTTTTTGAGATAGGGTCTCACTATTAGTTCAAAATGGCCTTGAATTCATGGTGATCTGTCCCTGTCTCAGCCTCCTGAGTGCTGGAATTACAGGTATATGCCACGGTACGTGGCAGCCAGCCCTGTTTTATGTGGTAGTGGAGATTGAACTCAGGTGTTTCACACTGGGCTACATCCCTTTCTCTTTTTCAGAGAGACTCACTAAGCTCCCTGGCTGGGCTGGATCACGCAGCCTCCGCCTCTTAGAATACTGGGATTTTACAGGCGTGCACTACCAGGCCCCTATTTTAAATTTTGCGATGGGGTCTTGCTACATTGCACAAGTGGTCTCGAACTTGGTAGCCTCCTGCCTCAGTCTCCTAAACAGATGGGATTACAGACGTGTGCTACCACACTCAGCTCTTCTCTCCATTCTCTAGTAACATGTTCCTCGTTCTCCAGTAGCAAATGCCAGGACAGCCCTTAATGGCCGTATTTCTAGCATACACTAAAAACCTTTCCAAGCCTGATGAAGTATCACACACCTGGCATCCCAGCATCCCAGAGACTGAGGCCGCAGGATCACCATGAATTCCAGGCCATCCTGGGCTCCCTAGTGAGTTCAAGGCTGGCCTGTGCTACATAACGAGACCTTGTCTCAAAACACAAACGAAACAAAACACTTACCAGCCTCTGCCTATTGCTGCTTAAGATTTATTTTCTACCAAAACACCACTTTTCAGTACCTGTATCTTTTCCTGAGACTAAGAACAGGCCCCTTTCTCTGTCTCCTGTGATGAGGTCACAGCCCTACAGTATTAACTCTGCCCCCTTTGAACCTCGCCTAACCCCAAACTGAAGTTCTGTCTTCAAGGTCGAATTGGGGCTTAGATTATAAATATGAATTTTGGGAGCGAAAAGTCAGAGCACTTAACACCAGCAATCCTATCATCTACAGAGACTATTGTTTTTCTACTTCAATTGTTAGGTCATTGTTGTCCCTTTATAGGAGTGACTATTACCTCCAGCACAATACTGACTAAAACTAGTAAAAACGGCATTTTTTTCTTTAAAATTCTAATATACTCTCCATTCTATGGACTCAGTGGGTACAGTTTTTTGTTTTTTTTTTTTCCGGTACTGGGGATCGAACTCATGACCGCCTGCTTGCAAGGCAGGTGCTTATGCCACTGAGCTAAATCCCCAACCCGGGGTATAGTTTTGTTTTTAATACCCAATCTTGCACAAAGATTTCCCAATATTTAAAAATTTTACAGGCTGAATCTTCTTGGATTTGTTGATTGCTTTTCCCCTGTCATCTATCAGCATCATATTCATTTATTCATAAGCCTCAAATACCTAGAACTACAAGTGGCTCATAATACATAATAAATACTTGAATATGTGAATGAATGAAAGGACTTGCAAATAAGTATGGTCATTATTGATCATAGTTTATTGATTTTCTGATGTTAATCTTTCATTCCTAAGTAAACTCAACTTGGTAAACTCGATACTATTTCCTTGGGTTTTTGGGGGGGGGGGGAGATTGGTGATTGAACCCAGGACCTTTGCACTGAGCAACATCCTAGCCTATTTTTTTTTTTTTTTATTTTGAGACAGGGTTTCGCTAAATTGCCCAACATGGGCTTGATCTTCCTGCCTCAGTTTCCCAGAGTGCTGGGATTACACGTGTGTACCACCATGCTGAGTTTGGACTGTCTTTAATACTTAACTTGATTATGTTTACTAATGTATTATAAGAAAGATCCCTGTAGATATGTTTCAGTGACCTTAGCATGTAATTTTTTTGTATATAAGAAAAAAAGTAGAGGCTAGGGTGTCACTTAGTGGCTGCGCACTTGCCTGGCATGGGTGAAGCCCTGGGTTCAACAAAAAGAAAATGAAATGTGGTATGGGTGGATCTCAGAGGTAGAATACACATGTACAAAGCTCTGGGCTCAGTCCCAGCACTATCAAAATAACGATGGTTTTAGGTGTAAATGATGATGGTACCATGTACTGTATTGGAATGTGTCTTCATGTTTTATAAATTTGTAACTTTTTCATAGTTCAATTATCTGGCTTTAGAGCAGTTGTTAATTATTGTGTTAGGTATCCGTTTTTGTACGATTTTAAGCTATTTGCTTAATTTCTCTGTAATCATAGGACAACTAAGGTTTCCAATATCTTAAGCATTACGAGTATATTTTTCTAGGCATGTTTTCATTTGCACATATGCAAGGAAAACTTTTATATTTTTAATGTTTCCTTGGTGTACAATTAAGTTTACTTTGGGTCTCTTGCATTCGAGAATTGCTTTCTTTGTGCATTCTTTCTCTTGCATTAGTCTTGGCAGGGTATTCAGTTTTATACTTTTTTTCTTTTTGTCTGTTTTTTGTTTGTTTGTTTGTTTTTGTGGTGCTGGAGATCAAACCCAGAGCTTTGCACAGTAGCTGGATGTCCTGCCACTGAGGTGTATTCTGAGCCAGGTTTGTGAAAATCCAAGCCTTCCACTGGGGATGTAGCTACCGGCAGAATGCCTGTCTCACTTGCACAAGGCCCTGGGTTCAGTCCCTGGTACTGCGGGAAAACAAAATTCTAAATGGTCTGATTGATTCTGTTAGATATTAACACAGCCATATCAGCTTGCTTTTGTTTTCCTTTTTAGTCTGTTTTGTTTTGTTTTGGGTGCTGGGGATCAAATGTAGGCCTCGCTCAGCTAAGCATGTGCTCTACCACTAAGCTACACCCTCAGCCCAGATGTCTCTCTATATATACGTTAGCTGGAGATGAAAAACTCTAAGTACTTGAAAGCTTCTGACTAACAATCCTTTTCTTTCACCTTGAACATTTATTCATTATGTATAATCTAGTTAGTAATAAATTTGGATTAATTTCTAACATCTTGTTTCTTTCTGTTGTCTCATTGTGCTTCATCCTTGCAATTGATTATATTTTTCACTGAAATGATTTTACTCTTGCTGTTTGAAATTCATATGCTCTTTCTTTTTGTTGGTGCCCTAAAACATTAAATTCGTTTTTGAAATTTGCCTTTGATAATACTCTTTCTTTCTCCCCAGTGGATGAGGCTATTTGTATAGAGTAGCTCCCACAATGGACCTCCCAAGCCTCACTTGAGAGAGACCTTGAAGTCAGGGCTGGCTCTCCTGAGCCACTGGACAGATCTAGGTGTGGAATTGTGATCATGCCCCTTGACAAAGCTCCAGCACATCTTGTAGTGGATTAGAAACTGCCACATCTTATTTGAAACTACTCCAAGACGATGGAATCTATTTCATTTCCCTTTTTGTATTAACTGGTTTTAGGACTCATTTTGACCAAGAGAAATCAGCAGAACTGAGCTGTACCGAGTTCATCTGCAGAAGGCCTTGGATATTAATTCTTGTTTTCAGCTACTAGGCTTTGGGGATGTTTGTTAGATGGTAAAGGCCTACTGAGAATACAAACTCCCTGATCAACTGCTGCCTCGGGTCATAACTAGCAAAGCCTCCAGAACGGACTGTCTTGGGAGCAGGGAAAAATTCTGTCAGTGGTCACAGAGGGAATAAGCATTCCACAGACCTAATGTGAGAAAAGAAAATCGAGATTTGAGCTCGTCTTCTGTCAGCTTCCTCCAGCTTAGGGTCCAGCGCACTCAGCAGAACTGTGGACTCCAGAAACAGTTGAGCAGAAATGCCATGCAAGTGTGTGGAAGGCTGGTGACAAAGGCAGTAAAAAGAACTTACCCAGGGGACACTGGCTGAGTTGCCAAGGAAGGAATCTCCCTGTCAGGGTGAGAGATTGGTGACTTGATAAAGGGTTGAGGAGATGAAAAAAGGGTCTAGCAGGAAATGGGATCATCTAAAGATCATCTTTTTTGGGGGATCTAGTATGTCATGTAGACCTTTCAGAAGCACCTGCGTTGCCTTTCAAATTATGTGTAAGGTTGCAATTTGGTGAGCTGAGCATGATGGTGCATGCCTGTAATCCCACCAAGCCGGAGGCTGAGACGGGAAGATGGCCTTGAGTTCTAGGCCAGTCTGGACTACATAGTGAGACCTTGTGTCAAACAAAACGAAACAGTTGCAATTTGACAAGAGCATTTACTCCTGGCTTTCCAGCTTTAGATAAGACAAGGAGGGCTCTACATATTATCTTTTAGAGAAGATGAGTCCAGACTCACTGGGAGGAATGAATGGGCCTTTATCTTGTAATGTTCTGGTCACTGTTGCTATCCCTATAATGTCCACTTAGTGGGATGGATTTAATGCAGCTCTACTGTTAAGGATTTTGACCCTTTCACTATCAACAGGCACCCCCCCATTGGCAAAGAAAAATTGATCAAGACAGAGTGCTTGTATCCATAACTGCTTTGAGCTGAATTTCAACGTCGACATAGTTAGGGGCCCCTTGAATTTCTGATTGTCCAAGGCAGAGCTGCTTATCAGTCAGGCTGCAAACAGAGGCTCTCTGTGTTTATATAATGAGTCCAGATGGTGGTTGGCCACGTGACCTTGAGAGCTGGCAGAATCCAGAAGAAATAAACTCAGAAGGCAGTTGTATAAAATGAGGAAAAGGCCAGGCACAGTAGCACATGCCTTAATCCCAGCAATTGGAGGCTAGGGCAGGAGGATTGTTGCTGTGAGTTCAAAGCCAGCCTGGGCTACACGCTGAGTTTAAGGCCATCTTGAACTACTATGTAGCAAGACCCTGTCTCAAACAAAAAACTCCCCATCACGAGGAATAGTACTGTGGCAATCAGATGATCCTTTTACCTGTGAATATTTTAAAATCTGAATTTTGCCGGGCATGGTGGTGCACACCTGTAATTGCAGCACTCAGGCAGGATCCTCCTGGATCACTGCAAGTTCAAGACCAGCCTGGGCTACAAAGTGAGCTCAAGGCCAGCCTGAAATGCATAGTGAGACCCTGGCTCAGAAAAGACAATAAATAAAAATTAAAATAAAATATAATCTGAGTTTTCCTGAGGTTTGTTACATTAAGTTCAAATGGACCCTCAGTAAAGTTTCTGTGAGGGCCACCTTTTAGTACTCATTTGTAAAAATCCTTTTAAAAAAAACTTTTGGGCTGGGGGTTTAGCTCAGTGGCATAAGTGCCTGCTTGGCAAACGCAAGGTTGTGAGTTCAATCCCCGGTACCAAAAAAAAAGACCTTTTATTTTTGGTAGGGCTGACGTAAGTGACCTTGATTTTCACAGTTCATTGGTTTTCCTTATTTCCCCTCATCTTTTATGAGATTCTGCAAAAGCATTGTTTTGTTTTGTTTGGATGAATACGTTTTCTTTTATTAAAAATAAAACAGAATGAAACCAAAAACAAACAGAATAATAAAGATTAGAAAACACAATCTCTTATCAAACTGTCAACATCATTTTTCATATAGATTAACATTTTGATGCTTACATTTCTGTAAAAATACTCAGAATAGTCTAAACAACTTTGATAAAGTTGGTAAAAGTTTGATAAAATTAGAGCTCCAACCCTCCCCAACCCCACGACTTATCACAAAGTTACACCAATCATGACAAAACAGCATTGATATCAAGATAGACAAACCATCAAAGTACCAATATGAAGTCCCAGAATAGATACCCACATAGCAGACATTTGATTTCTGGCAAAGATGTAAAAGCAATTAGGAGAAAGGAGTGTACCCCAATAAATGTACTGGAACAACTGGATGTCCACATGCAAAAAACCCAAACCATATAGCACATCAAAAATTTCTTTTTTTTTTTTTTTTTTTTTGTCTTTTTCCTTTTTATTGGTACCGGGGGTTGAACCCACAACTGCCTGCTTGCAAGGCAGGTGCTTATGCCGCTGAGCTAAATCCCCAGCTCACATCAAACATTTCTTAAAACATCCAAAAGTCAACTCAGAATGTCTCACAGTGGGTTAAAGTGAAGGCAGGGGTGGCCTGAGTTGGTCCTTGGCTGAAGTCTTTCTCTCTGGGACAAAATACATGTTTTTTTCCTTATCATACTAATGAAACAATGTGATTATTATGCATGTGTGACATAATTATTTCACTGTTTTCAAGGTGCATCCATTTACCTATAAAAATGTCCAGTTTATCATTCTTTATGGCTGAATGGTATTCCACTGTATAAAAATACCACAACTTTTTTTATTCATTCCTCAGTTGATGGGCATTTAGGTTGTTTCCACGATCTGGCTATTACAAACTGTGCTGCTATAAATATGGGTGCACATATATTGCTGTGGTATGATGTTTTCAATTCTTTTGGGAAGATACCCAGAAGAGGATTAGCTGGGGTGAATGGGACCTCCAATCCTAATTTTTTGAGGAATCTTCACATTGATTTCCATAGTGGCTGTACCAGTCTACACTCCCACCAACAACAAAGAAGAGTTCCTTTTTCCCCACAGCATTTGTTAGTGGTTGATTTCTTAATACTAGCCATTCTTTCTGGGGCGAGGTGAAATCTCAGTGCTGTTTTAATTTGCATCTCTCGAATGGCCACTGCTGTTGAAAAGGCACTGTTGACTGACCATACTATAGTCACATTTTTCATTGTTCCTTGTTGCAGGAATGCTGTTCTGATTGTCGGTTTTATCTGGTCCTAGCATGGAGGAGAAGTGACTGACAATGTAGAGCCTGTGTCATAGCCCCTTTGGGTCACATTTGAGCAACACAGAGATTTAGAAGGATTAGCTCTTAGGCTATGTTTTCCTGGAGTCTAGTGATAAAATTTAATTTTATCTGTCCTACATGTGACGACATGGCTAACATTCTAAAACATTGGATCAGATGTCTTTGCTAGGACTTGTTCTGTAGAATTTTACGAGATAACAAAGTTTAAAAAAGGAAAATATGGGGTTTGGGATTTAGCTCAACGGCATAAGCACCTGCCTTGCAAGCAGGTGGTCGTGAGTTCAAGCCCCGGTACTGATTTAAAAAAAAAAAGGAAAATATAAAATAAAACCAACCTGGGTAAAACAAATTTAGTTCGTGAGGCAATATTGAACCAAGAAACAATTTTCGTGATACCAGTGACTAATGCAAGAAAGCACTAATTTGTCTGTGGTACTTGCGTCTTAGTCACTTTCTGCATTGCTGAGACAAAACACCAGACACCCACATCCTAAATGAGAGGTTTATTTTGGCTTAGGTTTCAGCCCATAGTCTCTGGCTCCGAGGCAAAAAGGCATGGTACAGGGGTGCTCACGACCTGATGTCCAAGAAGCAAAAGACTCGGAGAGGAGTCGGGAGTGAAGACAGATGACCCCTCCCAGGCACAGACCCCGCTTCCAGAGCAGCAAATCAGCTGTAAACCACCATCACACAATCACTGTCCAAAAACTCTGCCTATGAATATATGAGGGTCTTGGGGGACATCTAGATGTAAATCATAATAACTTGCTAAGACTCCGTTTTATGAATCTGATGATAAATGTTTTAGAAAGGAGGCAGCACTGTAGATGACAAAAGCCACTCTCAGAAAGCTGATGAGTATAGTGATTTACAAGATTTCTATTCAAATGGATAATCTATTCATTTTACATAGGGGTTTAAGATGACAATTATGACTGATACTACATCAGGACCCATAGGCACTGTTTTGTTTATATATATTCTTTAGGTGACTAACATTCAGTTCTTTTATTAGAATGGTACTTTTTTGTCATGTGCAGTGTTTAGGCACATATAATTACTATAATACAATTAGGAACATATAAGCAAAGACCCAAAATAGTTTATCATAAACAACTTGGGTTTGGAGGGCACCAATAAGACAAGATACCTTTTTTTAAAAGTCTGTACTTTAGGAGGCTTATATGTTTGGGGAATATAAATTTATTTAATATAAATAAATCAGTAACATTACAATTTCATAGAGGTTCTTTGTCACCTTAGCTTTTTACTTTTGATGTGAAATTAAGAAATTGTTTATTAGATCTTACATAGCATTGACCAGAATCAAAGGATTGCTTTAGAGCTCTTATAAGTTTAGAAAACTGTGTTACTGACCACAAATACTACTTGAAACATAAAGACTCCTCATTTATACAATAACCAAAAAATGCTTCTTCAATTAGAGCCAATAAGCGGAGATCAGATTTTAAATGGAAGGATTAGCAAATGGCATTTTCCCCCCTCTGAGTGGTGTGGTATATAAACAGCAGAAGAAGCATGGATGACACATGCCTATAAGCCAGCACAGGAGGCTGGGTCAGGAGGATCACTGCAAGTTTGAGGCCAGCCTGCACTGCATAGTTCAAGACCACACTGTAGTTTAAGACCTTGTCTTAAAAAAAAAAAAAAAAAAAAAAAAGCAAGAATGCCTTTTACTGACCATTTCCATGTTTAGAATCCAGATGAAATGTATGTTGCAAAAAAATAAAGATCACTTAGTAATCATTATGTGAGTATTAGACTCATTTATCTTTAGATTTATGAACTCTATACTTTTAAGATGCATATTTAATTCTCAGGTATAGAAACCTCTAGTTCCAGAGAGAGTGTCAATATACTATGATAACCTAAAATAACAGTTGTTTACTTAGAAATTATAAGCTGATCATTTAAAAGACTTTACCATAAACTAACACTTAAACCCTAAACATATTAGGGCTCAGTTTCCTACGTAATCAAAAGTCTAACAATAAAAAACAGAGGAAATTATCTTGATAAATTACAAGGCCTTAATTTCTTAGGCCAATCTCAGTAAACTTTACTAAGCGTGGATCAATACTGTAAGAGAACCTCTTCACTTTAAACCAATTTTTCATATAAAAATTTTTTTTATCTAAAAGCATGCACCTGCTGGGTGTGATGGCACATGCCTGTAATCCCAGCACTCAGGAGGCTGAGGCAGGCACAGTGCTGTGAGTTCAAGGCCAGCCAGGGCTACACAGTAAGTTCAAGCCCAGTCTGAACTACACAACAAAACTGTCTCAAAAACAACAAAAATAGAATAAAATAAAATAAAACAAAAACCTAAAAGCATGCATTCTCTCTTTCTCTTTCTTACTAAAGATATCTCCATATTTTTTTTTTTTACATTTTTCTTTTCTATTTCCTCATTTCCATCCATCAAAAGCCTGGAGACACTTGTATTTTAAGATGTCTTTGGTACATTTGTGGGGCTTTTTTGGTCTCAACTTAAAGATGTTTATATTCATTAGGACTGGTTAATAATAGACTTCCAAATGGTACATTATTTTAGTACTAGCAGAAAATAGAAAGAAGTACACCTGTAATTCCAGCACCGTGGGAGGCTGAGGCAGGAGGATCACAACTTTGAGCTCAGTCTGGGCAATTTAGCAAGACTCTGTCTCAAACAAGAGATTGGGATGTAGCTCAGTGCAAAGCCCTAAACTGAATCCCTGGTATGGGTGGTAAGTACAAAGAACAAAGCTGTTATATTTTAGCTAGGGCTGACAAAACTTTCAGTTTACATGACCTTCTACAAAATAATCTTGGTATAAGCAGAGAGCCCAGAAGGGTAAATTAACCCTGTAGGTGCAGTTTAAGAACTACCTCCACATTGTTTGCAAAAAGTGTCTTAAGTATGATTAGACAAGGATATCAACTGAAACCACAGGAAAGCAGATCGGACAATTAGCCAAGCTACTTTCCATTGGATTCCTCTAGACTCCTGAAGGTTTGTCTCCTCCTCGCCTGGCATCTGGAAACAGGAGTGAACCCCAGCTTTGTCCTTTGCTGGGACTCAGCACAGGCTGCAGGTGACATTTTCTCACCCGCTACGCAGCTTTGCCACCTGACCTACGACTACTCCCCTGGTAGCTCGGGCTGAAGGTCCAGCTTGAGCCAGTCCGAGGTCTGGGCCTTCCCAGCCTCTCTTTTATCTTTTGGGCAGTGTTTATCTCTTGCATTGGCACTTTTAACTGGTTTATTTGTTTTGTGTGTGTGTTGCCTTCCCTGTGTTTGTTCGGCATGACCTTGAATTTGGAGTTTAGTCTCTGTTGCTGCTGCGGAGTGAGGGCTCACTCCCTGCCCACTGTGGTCTTATATGGATCTGTTTGAGGGCAAGGCTGGCCTTGAAGTCATGGTGATCCTTCTGCCTCAGCTTCCCCAGGTGCTGAGATTACAGGCATGTACCATCATGCCCAGCTAGCTATATGGATCTTTTTGTTTAAATCATATTGGCCATTAATAAACATTTTTTCTAGCCCTAAGGTTGGGGTGGGACACAAAGTTTGGAAAAAACTGGAGCAAACTGGTTTAGGCAGCTATCTTTTCATCTGGGGGACTTTATCCAGCAGCTCACAAGCCCAGGGGAAGATTTTTCTTTCTCATTTTTAAACAAATTATAAAGACAGATTAATAGAAAGAAAAACACATAATACATCATATAAAGTCAAGAGTTACTTAGCTTTTGGAGACAAGGTCCCACTATGTAGTTCAGGGTGGCCTTGAACTGACTATGCAGCCCAAGCAGGCCCTGATCTGGAAATGATCCTCTTGCCTCGGCTTCCCTAAGTGCTGCAATTACAGTATGTGCCACCATGCCTGGCTCAAAGTGCACTTTTACATGCACTGGCCATTTTTGGATTATAATAATCCTTTTTCTCTTAGTTTTAGGTTTATAATTATAGACGTCAAAATTCTTCCTTGGAAGTACCAGTGAGTACCTTTTACTTTCAGAAGAGTCAGACAGAGATATTTTGTATGTTTTTGTTATTTGATCATCATACAGTTGCAACAAGAGTCACAGGAAAGGGATTTAGGGGTCAGCCGGGGAGCAATGGAAAGGAAGTTAGTTGGGAGAAAAACCAACAAAAGGATCATGACAGGAATCAATTTCAGAACTTGTAGTCAGGAAGGGTGGACTGTGGGAGGCACATACCCAGCCCTCCTGCAGCTGGGGATCCTGGGACAAGACCAGGAAGGGTGGATATGATGAAATTCAGAGTCCTCTCGGACTGCAGAAAACATCTATGGGTAGGATGGCATTATAGTTCAAGGTGCCATTAAGGGATCAAGTGCCCAACCTAGGAATTTATATTTAGGCCAGGCAGTGTTGCACAAAGGAAAAAAAAATGTTTAGTTTTGAGAGATCAAGTCAAATTGGACCAGTTTTCAAGAATACACCCCAAAGGCAGCTCAGAAGGGACAGAGGATGTGAGACCCACTATTGGGTTTACAGGAGATGCAGTGTCTACCCAGATATCCCTCAAGGATGGCAGACCTCAAAAGCCATCAACTGGCCTCTAATCTTGGGCATCGGCTGGGAAAAAGAGAGGCTTCGGCTCCCAACAGTCAAACTTGGTTTCACTTTGGAGTCAAGGGCATTACCAGCAGTTGAACATGCCCTGAAGTGATCTGGTGCATTGATTTCCTCTGTGCTGACTGGGGAAGGGTAGACTGCCATCCTGGGGAGCTGGAAAACTGGGTTACTCAGGCATCTTCTGAGTCAGGAAGTTCAGCCGGGAGAGGGTGGAGCCAGAGGCCAGCAGCAGCAAAAGATCAGCAGAGGCAGAGAAAGAACAAGGAGGGGGTTCTCAGAGTATACACCGACTCACCAGGGACGAGCTTCTGCTGACAGCTGCTGTGTGCTGAGAGTCAGGGAGGATCTGCTGGAAGAAAAACGTCCTCTCACCCCGACAGACTCTGACTGGCATCCTCCATTTTCTGCTGCTTTCAGGTCCCCCTAGACTGTGGTCCTGGCCAGGGTCCCTCAGCTTCAAAAGCAAAATAAAGCATTCTGCAAAGGGCTGAACACCATCGTTTAGCTCATACACTGATGACAGCGCATGGCGGTTTGGGTCACAGCCCAGAGGCCTTCAGGTCCCACTGGGAAGTCGCCCCAACCAGTCCTTCAGCTGCCCACAGGCTGATCTGCCAACCACCCACGAGGACCACAGGGAAGAGAGGCCAGGATCCAACAGCTTTCTTCACTGGCTACCAAACTGCCCTGTGCCTCACCCAGGCAAGGATAAGGGTAAAGACAAGAGTTTCCAAGGCCAGAGCACACTGTCAAAGGAGCCAATGTTTGTCTCCAAGACAGGGACTGTCAGGGTGAGAGACTGGGGTTTGAAGATGTGAATAAAGGGTCTGGAAGCAAATGTATCTATAGAATGTCTCTGAGATCAACTAGAGTCCCTTAGATCTTTCAACAGCACATGCATTGTATTGAAAATTGTGTTGGGGCTGGGGATTTAGCTCAGCGGCATAAGCGCCTGCCTTGTAAGCAAGTGGGCAGTCGTGAGTTCGATCCTTGGTACCGATAAAAACAAAAAAGACAAAAAAAAAAAAAAAAAAAAAGAAAATTGTGTTTAGGGCTGACGATACATCTCAGCAATACAGTGCCTCCCTGGGAAGCACGAGGTTGTGAGTTCAATTCCCAGTACAAATAAATAAAACAAAATTATATGTTTAAAATTGCAAAAAATTCACACACAAAGAAAGTTTGGGGCTGGGGATTTAGCTCATCATCGGCATAAGCACCTGGTGGGAGGAGGAGGAGGAAGAAGAAGGAAGTTTGACAAGAACATTTCCTTGGACTTACAGAAGGAGGTGGTCTATGTATTATCTTTTAGAGATGGGTCAGAACTGACTGAGAAGCATGAATTGAGCTTACAAAAGAGGTCTGTACTTAATCTTGTGAAATTTCGGGCAGTGGTGCTGGCTTGTGGCAGCTTGCTCTGAATAAGATTAAAGTAGTGGCTTTAACTAGAGTTCTACTGTTAAGGGCTTTAACCTTTTTGTTGCCAGTGGAATTCATCTATTAGCAAGTGGATTGGTAATAGGTGAATCCCACTCCTACCAAACAGTGGGATTCGGGATTATTTCAGTGATTCTCCTCCGATTTTTCCCACAGGTTTTTCAACCTGGTAGAAATAGCAGAGAGTGAGGTGGGAAGTGTTGGCAGCATTCAGAAGGGCTGTAACACAACTGACAATAGTGATACCAACACTATCCAGAGACCCAGAGAGTTCATTTTCGGGGCGAGACTCATACACTCTTTACTCGCCTTTTCAGGGGGCCAGAATAAGCGGTCTAGGAAACGAGTTGAAACAATTTTGGATGAAGCCTAGCGGGGTGGCACACAGACAGCTCTCATCCAGCACTCGGGAGGCAGGGGGCGGGGGGGCTGTCCAGGCCGGCCTGGGCTACACTGCAGGCTCAACGCCAGCCTGAACGACATACGGAGCTCAAAACACCAAAAAAAAAAAAAAAAAAAAAATTTTTTTGTTTTGTTTTGGATGAGCATTCCGCGGCGGGAGGCCCGGGGTCTGCCTGGCAATGCAAACCTGGCAGCAGGGCCGACCCCACCTCCACCCGGGCCGCACGCCTCGACTCCGACCCGCCCGGGCGCGCCACCTCACTTTGGCCTCTGCCCCCTTCTCGTCCGTCTGCCCGCTCCCCGCCCCGTGCCGGCGGCGGAACCCAGCCGCGCTCCCGCGGGAGGAAACCGGGCCGCCTGCCCGCAGCGCCCAGCGCGGCCGCCCGGCGCCCCGCACCCTCCGGCCGGAGCGGAAGTGACGTCACGGCCGGCGCGCTCTTCCGGCCCTGCCTGCCGCGGCCGGCCCGAGAGACTTGTTACCTTCCGCGCCGTGCGGGCCACTCCGGCTTTTGTGAGTTCCGCGGCCCGGGGCCTGCCTCGGGGCAGGGGGATGTGCAAGGGCGGGTTTGGCCCGGGGCGCCGAGGCGCCTCCGGGGAGCGGCCGGGCGCGCTGGGCCGGAGCCGCGGGGGCTGCGGGGGCTGCGGGCTCGGGCGCTGCAGAGGCCGCGGGCGGCGGTGCGGAGGAGCGGGGACGGGTGCGCGCGGCGGGGTGCGGGGCTGCGCCCGCTGTTGCAACACTCTAAGCCTGGATGGCCAGCGCCCAACAGGCTGAGGCAGGCAGGTGGCACATATGCGTCCACCCTGGGCGATCTAAGAGAGACCGTGTCGCAAATAAATGCACCCTCTTTGTTTTTAAAGAAAGGAATCTCTCACCTGAGTTTGGCTTTGTCTTGTTGGATCGTATTTTATTTTGACCATTTTAGATAAAGAGATTATCCTAGCCTTCGGGAGACCGAGGCAGGAGAATCGCTGCGAATTTGAGGCCAGCTTAGGCTACATAGTGAGCTCCAGGCCAGTCTGAACTGTATAGTGAGACCATGTCTCAAAAAACGAAAACAAGAAAATAAATAAAAATACTTCTCTGAATGTGTAGAATATGCATTTTTCTGTATGTGACTATAAACTTTTGTAGATCAGAGTCTCAAAGAAAACTATGACCTCTCAGCTTCTCTGTTTTCTCAATCAATACGTTTTTGTCGCGCTTAAAAACAAACCTCTGAAACAATGGAGGCCTTATTATTCTAGTATTATAATCATGGATTAACCCCTAACACTGATGTTAGGTTAATTGTACTTTTCCCCACATTTCTCTTCTGAAAAATTTTAATCATACTGGTATACCCATTATGGTAACTTCACTGATGTGTAAAGTGTGTGTTTGCTCTTTGCCATGTAAATACATGGTAGTGTGAATTGTTTGTTGACAAGTAAGTTGAAAATAAGTGGTAGACATGATACTTGTGCTTTAATGACTTAGTAATGTGTGTCCCAAAGATAAGGACATCTGACTCAAAGCAAAATGTTTCAATAAAGAAATTTTTTTTTTTTTGGTCTTTTTCCTTTTTATCTGTACCAGTGATCGAACTCACGACTGCTTGCAAGGCAGGCGCTTATGCCGCTGAGCTAAATCCCCAGCCCCAATAAAGAAAATGTTAAAAGTCTAAAGGTGTGCTGACACATATGTGTAATTCCAGGCCTGGAGAAACTGAAGCAAGGGGATCACTATGAGGCACAGTTTAACCTGTACCGCATAGTGAGACCCTGTTTTATAAAATCCAGAAACAAAGAGAGCTAGGGTAAGGGTATTAGGAGGGAGGAAAGAGAGAAAATTGAAAACAGTAACATCATTCAAGATCCATTTAAGGTTTCTAGATTGTACTTTTTTTTTGGTGGTACCCGGGAGACCTGGCACTTACCAGGCAGATGTTTACACTGCTGAGCTAAATCCCTGGCCTGATTGTATGTATTTTTGAGTCATAGTCTTGAATTACCCAACTCTGTATCTGTCTTGGGCAGCTGTGAACTCTTGTGGCCTTTTGTTAAATCTGTGTGACATTTCAACACCTACTCAGTAGACTTAGCATATTTGCAGAGTAGTTTGTGGATAATGTACACTTCCAACTGTATGTTATTAAGAAGGCACTCGTTGATATACCCTTCCATGAGTGATACTTCATAATTTTGATAGATATTCAAGGCATTAATAATGACAGCATTTTCTTTTTCTTTTCTTTTTGTAATGGTACTGGAGATAGAACCCAGGCTCCTGCACATGCTAGGCAAAGGCTCTGTTACTAAGCTATATCCCTACCCCTTAAAAAATGGTGAGACAGTCTCACTAAGTAGCCCACATTGGCCTTGAATTTGCTGTCCTACTTTCTCAGCGTCCTGAATAGCTGTGATTACAAGCCTACACCCCAGCATCAGGCTAGTACCTTATTTTTTTCTTTCACCTAAGAAAGTAACTTGTAGGTTGATACATCTGCAGGAGAACCATCTTGTCTCAGGCCACATTCTAATCAGTTTTTGAGGCATTCATGAGTAATGTGCAGTGAATAAATTTCCTTATATGTGTTTTTACGGTTGTGAAGGTACATTTTCAGAGAATTTTTATGGTGTGTGTTCTAGGTCAAAGTGTAGATATATGTTTAATGTTACTGTACATTAAATATTTTTCTTCTAGCCTTGTACAAATATGGCAGTTTCTGAATCAACATTTTAAAAAATTTGTTTACTGCTGGGATGGTAGCGCATGCTTGTAATCCCAGTCTTGAGTTCAAGGCCAGCCCAGGCTGCGTAGCAAGACTCTGACTCAAAAAATAAGTTAAAAAAAATTGTTTAGAAATTCTTAAAGAGAAAAAAAGAAAAAGATTTTAGTTTTAACTATAAGGCAGTTGTTTTGAAAAGGAAAATTGAGGGGCTGGGGGTTTAGCTCAGTGGCATAAGCACCTGCCTTGAAAGCAGGCAGTCGTGAGTTCGATCCCCGGTCCCGATAAAAAGGAAAAAGACAAAAAAAAAAAAAAAAAAAAAAAGGAAAGGAAATTTGTTCATTTCCATGGTGAATAACAATACTCAGAGAAATTTTCAGAAATACTGTTTTGGTGTATGTTATACTTGGGCAAATACTTTATGAGCATAACTCATTCAAACTGACTTTGAACTCACTATGTACTTAAGGCTGGCCTCAAATTTCTGGTGATTCTCCTGCCTCAGGCTCCCTGAGTGCTGGAATTACAGGTGTGGGCCCAAACTCTTTTTTTAAAGAGTTCATTGTTAATCTGTTGTTTCCTAATATTATAGTAAGTTTAGAGGCTTAAAACAACATAATCTCTTCTGTTTTTATTTTTAGTCCTGGGAATTGAACTCAGGACCTCATGCATGTTAAGCACACTTCCTGTGATAGAGCTACACTCCCAGTCCCAAAACACATGCTTTTTATGCCCTACTTTTTTTGACTAAAAAGTCCAAAACCATCTTGGGTTGGTGCTGTGCTCAGTTTCTCACCAAGATCCAGTCAAGGCATTGGTTGGGCTGCATTCTAATCTGGTTGTTCAGAGATGCTTCACTAAGGAAGATACCATCTCTCCACTTATTCGTGTACTTGGCAAAATGCATTTCCATACAGCTGTAGGACTTGTTTGTGCAGCTAGGTCACTGTCACAGCTAGAGAGTAGGTGCAGTTCCACTCACATGGCTGATTCATGAAGCCAGTAAAAGGACTGTCTATACCTTACGGAGGCCGCTTTAAAAAGATTTCTACCAACTTGGGTAAATAAACTCAGTGTTTGAGTGCTTGCCTAGTGTGCACAAGGCCCTGGGGCCCGTTCTGTGCCCCTGTCAGACCCTTACCCCACACAGAGAAAAATAAAAACTCTGTAATGATGCATACCTGCAATCACAGCACTCTGGGAAGCTGAGGAAGAGGATGACAACTTTGTGTGGGCAATTTCATGACTTAGCAAAACCCTGTTTCAAAATGGAAAACGCAAGAGTGTTAAGGGTGTAGCTCAGTGGAAAGACCCTGGTTTCAATTTTCAGGGTGGTGAAAAAAGTGAAAGAAAAAAAGAAAGAATAGAAGGAATTATCAGATGATGTAATATTAGTAAGAGTGTTCGCTCGAGGACCTCAAGACCTTCTTTGAATAAGTTATCAGTGATGCTCTTGAACAAAATATAATAAACTTGGCATATTAGGAATGAAAGCAACAGAAATGACAACTATCTAAATAAATATCCTGTGCATTGCATATGTGAGTTTTTTATAATATATGGTTGTTGAATTTAAAACATCTGAGTATTTCAGGTTATATAGATTTATTTATTTACTTACTTATTTTGGTACCAGGGATCAAACTCACGACTTCGTGCTTGCAAGGCAGGTGTTTATGCCACTGGGCTAAATCCCATCCTAGATATAATATATAAAACAACTACAACATAATAGAGGGATATGTGACCTGTATGGTGTGAAATTTCTGTATTTCAGTGCTTGAATGCTCAGTACTACCAAAAAACAAAATACAATTTAAAAATAAATAAGTAGTTGGGCATGGTGATACATGTCTGTCATCCTAGCACTTCAGAGGCTGAGGCAAGAGGATCTCCATGAGTTTGAGGCTAGCCTGGACTACATAGTGAGAACCTGTCTCAAAAGAAACAATTTTTTTAAAAATGGAGAAAGAACCTGACCAAGAGAAGCTGCTTGATAAATTCGGAAGCAACTGTTTTGAGACCTTATAAAATTCTACCTGTAGAATCACATTACATTTGTCGTATTATCTTATCTAGAAACAGACCAAAGGTCTTGCATACATTAGGGTGTCAACCACATGGATTTGCAGCTTCCTGCAAATCTGGACCTCAGCTGGTCTCTGGTCAGAAGTCCCATGTGATGGACCATTCAGGCCAGTGTGTGGGGCAGCTCAGTGTACGGGCTGCATGCCACAGCTGTACCTGCAGAGCTTGTGCGTCTGCCTCAGGAGAGCTGTGACAATATCCAGGGCACATGGAATCTGACGTGGTAGCTGGGGACATGGATCTAGTTTGGACTGGTGGGGTAAGTAGGCCTCAGGTGCTCGGTGTTCCCGTCAGGAAGCTTGTGAAGGACGTGCAGACAGAGCCCGCACTGTAGGATACAGCATCCGCCATGGAGAGAGTAGCCATCGGGTTGGCTGCAGAAGTTCTTTGAGTGTTCCGTGTCTGTGTTAGGGACAGCCAGGGGAGAACCCAGGGCAATGGTGGTGAACCTGTGGTGTGTGTCGTTAACTGTGTTTTCTTCTAAGAGAAAAGGTGCCACTATATGAGTTGTTTTTTCTAAACTAAAACTTCAGTAGTGGTTTAATTGTAGTGCTGGTTCTTTACAATAAATAAGTGGATTACGGGTTGTAGTGTGCCCTCAGTCTCTCGAGGTTCACCATCACTGACCTAGGGTCTGAGTGCTCTGAGCACATGGCATGGAGCCATTAATGCCGAATGTCCTCACTCCACACCACTTCCCAGTTGTCCATCCAGTGTGCTCCCACTCGACAGAGCTAACAGTATTTTATGTAAAAGATAAAATGCTTAAAGGATTCTGTCCTTTATTTCATAGCAGGCTATAAAGCCAAACTGAATAAACTGAGGCATAGCCCAGTCACACTTTGGCTGCTCACTATCCACATGCATTATCTACACACTTATGCCACTGGGCTATAATAATTGATTATAATAATCAAGCAGCTCCATGTTTCTGCCTAGCAAGATTCTAGGGAAGTACTTCTCACCCTCCCGCTAAGTGAGAAAAAACACATTACTCCGTCACAGGCCATATTAATTTTTTACTTAACTGTAACCACACTCCCAGTGAATATGGTGTTAGTTACAGACTACATTGTGAATTTATCCCTTGTATAGAAAATAGAAATGTGCTGGGCGTATGGCACATGCCCGTAATCCCAGCCCTCAGGAGGCTGAGGCAGGAGGATTGCTGTGAGTTTGAGGCCAGCCTAAACTGCATAGTGAGACCTTGTCCCAAAAGAAAGTAGAAGAGGCGGTCCAGGGATTTAGCTTAGTGGCATGAGCGCCTGCCTGGCAAGCACATGGTTCTAAGTTTGATCCCCAGTACCAAAAAAAAAAAAGAAAAAGAAATGGAAAAAAACAAATAAATGGTTAATGTGAATAAACACTTGTATAAAAAGCAGATGCCTATAATACAGTAAAGAAACACACAAAACTACCACAGTTCTTGTTTCCGAAACAGGCTTTGTGGGTGTTGTTTACTTGAAGTTTTCTCCATCAGAGAATAGTTCCATATTTCTCTCCCTCAGCCACACCCGTTGCGGCTGTGGCTTCTTTACCTTCATGAGTGACTCAGATCTTCATTTAACATGCCTTTGTTCATTGTCCTGCCCCTTTTCAGTTGTAATTTTCCATTAATCTGTACCAATAGCTTGTGTGGCTCCTAAACTCCGTCCCCCTTGCTCTATATTTATATAGAGTACTACAGTTTCTCTTTGGTAGTTGTATTGTGACCCCAGCCAATGCACTAACTGCCTGCTTCTCCACCTCTTTAATTTAATGGTATGAGGGGCCCAAAATGTCCAGACAGCTCACCTGCTTTCCTGTGTATCAGGAACATAATTGTAGCCTTCTCATTAGGAACTAAGATCTCCAAACCTGCAGTGCTCTTGGTTGCTGAGATCAGAAGCAAAACTATTCCCATATGCATTTCTACATTAGCTTCTCAGTTCATGGACCTGTGTTCTGGTTGTGGGGAGATAGTACTATAGGACTTTCTGATTCATAGCAGTCTCTTCCTAAGACAGACCCCTTCCTTTCAGAGGGTTATATCCCCATTGGCAGGTAGCTAAATTTTCAGTAAGGCTTGCCACCTTTCATTTTGACGAGCTCCTTACACACGATAGGTGTCTGATCAGACCAGCTGGTTGCAGCGACCTGCTCTGATTGAGGTGACTGCAGGGAAGGGGCTTCCTTGACTAGATAGAGTCAGGTCTGTGTGAGAGCCGTAATACCATGCGGGGTGAAGCATTTTGTGAGCTGTTGGGTGGTGGTATCTGCAGAAGCTGACAGCTTGGGTATTACAGTAACTCGTGTTATAGCAGGTAACTCTCATGTACCTAAGTAGCAGCAAGGCAAATTCACATCCAGAATACTGGTGCCCTCTAGGATGCGGACCCCAGCACCCTGAGGTGGCTTTGGACTCTGGAGTGGAAGCTTGCTCATGACCAGCGGGACCTTTTTGGTCCAATATTCATACACAGAAAATTTTAGTGCTTAGAGATGATATTTTAAAGGCTCCTTCATGAGAAAATTTCAAAAGGGGGTAAAGGGAGTGACTGGCTATCCTGAAGACAAGGTAAGTTGAGAAGTTGCCACAAGGCACCTGTCTGTCAGCTTGTCTCCATTCCTCGTTGTTTTGGGGATGGTAGTGGTGGTGCTGGGGCTGGAACCCACAGTCTTACACATTCTGAGCAATATTCTGTCACTGAGCTACAGCCATCACCTTAACTTTCTCCTTTTTCTTTTTTTTCAATTTTTGTAGTTAAGCTGGCTTGAAAATCTTGATTTTCCTGCTCAGTCTCTCTAGGGATAGGAGGCCTCTCTTTCTTTTCTTATCGCCATTTATGGAAACTAAATGCCTATGTTTCAGGTACCCAAAAGCCTAAAACAACAGGGAAAAAAAAGCTGAAAAGAGAGAAAAAGACCAGTACTTTGGGTAGCTACAGACCCAACAGATGAAATAAAGGAGCTTGAAATTGTATGTACGGAGGAAATACCATGTCACACTAATATAATGGTACTGATAGGTGTGGTACTAATTTAAAACAGCTTCTAGAGCAAACTTAAGGTACTGATTTAAAATAATACAGTGTGATTAAATGGATTGTGTGCTGTAATCAAAATATGTGGTGAACGTTTGAATTAAAAATTTATTGCAGGAAAAGACTTTGCCATTAACTTCCCTCAGAATCCTCCCTCTTGCTTTGAACACGCTTGTCCTGTCATTCTTGCCACTTTCTGGAAGACTTTTTTTGAATGTCTTTACAAAAATGTGATAAGTAATTCAGTTGATGCTACTGCTGAGTGTCCTCAAATGGAAATCCAGGCTCATCAAAACTTAATGGTGCGTCTTCATCCTTATTCACCAGAACTGGCACCATGCAATTTCTAGCCTAAAGTCAAAATGACCATGAAAGATAAACGTTTTGAATCTATTCAGGATGTGGAGGAGAGCACAACTAAAGACACAAGTCGTGTGTATATCTCTAAATTTTAATATAAATAATATTAAGTACATATGTGATGAATTTTCATATGCAAAAACAAATCAAAAGTTATTGGTACATTTTAGATATACATAATGATTACATTCATCATAGAGAATTTGCACCTGTACATGATGTTACTTGGTTCTTTTTCTTTCCCATCCCCATACCCTTCCATCAACCCCTTCGCCCTTCCTGTAAAGCATTAGAGGTCACTAGATTTTTGCTTGTACAATATAAGATCTGACAACTTTTAATATTATTTAAGCAAAAAATGGAAAAAACAAGAAAATTTACAAAATAACTAGGAACTTGAATTACAGTTATACTTTGATATCTCAAATTATAAGCATTATGCCTTCTGTAGTCTTAACACAGTAACTAATAAATTGAGTAAAACTGAATACTCTTCCATATTTACATGTGTATGTGTAATTTTCTCATTGTCAGTGTACCCACCGCTTGAAAATATTCTTTACTGAATGTAAATGTGATACAATAAATTATATTTTGGGTGTTTTTTTTTTTTCCTTGGGGGGAGGTACTAGGAATCAAACTCAGGACCTCATGTGTCCCAGGCTGTGCCACTGAGCTACATCCTAGCCCCGAATAAATTATAAATTGACATTCAATAATATATTTTTGGTATTTATAATTAACACATGAAACATCATAGACTCTCATTAAAATAGTAAATAAGTACCTGTATTCCCATCACTCAGGAGGCTGAGGCAAGAGGATTACAGAGTTCAAGGCCAACTTGTGCTGCAAAGTGAGTGTAAGACCAGCCTGAACTGTATAGTGAAATCCTGTCTCAAAAAGACAAAAAAAAAAATTAATTAAAGTGTTCTTAATATGTACTGCGTGTTTAGTGTAAACATCAACATTTTAAAAAATAGTAAAGTTCAATGCAAATGAAGATAAGGCCTTCAGATACTAAAATTGAACTTTTAAAAAGTAACAAAGGGTGACTGTCTTTACTCCTTTTTTCACTGTAGCCTACTGTTAAATCTGAAAATAATGCAGATAGGTAGAATTTGAGAGATTGCTGGATCGGATAGATACATAGAACCTGCTAGTGGATTGCTATATAGCTGTATTCTGATAGTAAAGGCCCCCGTGTCCAGTATTTGGTATTAAGAAAATTTGTGATTCTCTTCAGCCATTATTTTATTCGTACATATTGGCTAATGTGTTCATTTCCGTGCCTGTTTTAACAGCCTCTCAGCTGCCGTGTGCCTCCACTTCAGCAGGGACACAACAGGCTTTTCCCAGGTGTCTGAGGGGTGCCTCTGCAACTTCCATCACACAGGTCCGTCCAGCTTTCTCCAAAACTCAGGTACAGCACTCTTTTCCATAGTATTTGTTTGGGACACTTATTAATAACAAAAGTTGACCATCTTGGTTCTGGTGTGAGCACCTCCTTCATTTAGAGATGTTACTTAGGAGTTAAAATCAACAGCCACTCCCATTAGTCTTCAGACAATCCTTCATTGCAGAGTCTTGGGCGACATCTTGTCATGTCCCAGAGTCTCTGTACCTCCTATTTTGGTCTTTACTTACCCCAAATTTCTGTGGAAGAAATTGCCCCTTCTCTGCCAAGTATGACGGTGCACAAATGAATTCCCAGCATTCAAGGAGGCTGGGCTAGGAGGATTCAAGGTTGAAGCCCAGCCTATGGAACTTAGCTATATAGTAAGATCCTGTCTCAGAATTAAAAATTTTAAAAAGTTGGGACTGTAACTCAGTGTAAAGGGTTTAATCATAGGATAAAATGAAGGGCTTAATCACCACTACCCCAGGAGGGGAAAATTGCTCCTTCTGCCACACATCATTAAAAGGACAGTTGGCAGGCCACCTAGTGGGCTGTGCAGGAAACATGCCCCTGCAGATGCTGAGCCTGAGACTGTCCCTACCCAGCTGTCCACTTAACTTGGAAGCAAGGATGCCCCATAAGCTTCACATGACACCAAGGCAGTCCTAACACAGATTGGGACCAAAGCCGGCCCTCTGATGTATTGTGCCTGCAAGAGCAGGGGCTTTTCCTGTCCCCTGTGTGTTGACAGATCAAGGTATGTGAGGAGGTCAGTCTTCTTGCAGACCCTGAGTGTCTCTAAAGAGCTCCTTGGGATTGACTGTGTGAAAGACAGTGGGAGTTTGTGGACTGTCAGACATGACCACAGCCATCATGCAGGTGATGGAGTTCAGTGTCACGTTGCTGCTTTTCATCTCTTAGTCGGGATGTACAAATAAAGAGCAAGATGCAAGAAACAGGACAGTTGGTCACGTTTGCGACAGGTGGACATCTTTAACACTGGAAGCTGTGGACAACTAGTTATACCACTTTCACATGTACTATAAACTAGTGAGCAATGGCTAAAGATTTTCTTCTTCAGGTAATTGAAAAAAAGGTCAAGATCGACCAAAACCTCTGTGATATCATTGAGCACATAAAATAACCAAAATTTTTGCACGTGCAGGGTGAGGCTGTAGCTCCATGATAGAGTTGGCCCAGTATGTGAGAGCCTCTTCGTGAAATACCCAGTGCTGGAGGTGAGGGGAGTTAAAAAGAAAAAAACTCAGAAAAACCCTGTAAGTGCCTCTGGATAAACTGCAGCCACACTACACGGCCTTAAAGGAGCACTCTTCACCCCCTCAGAGTTATTGCATGCTGTTTTACTGTTTAAAAAACATACTGTAGTACCCTTGGAAGAGGCACTCAGTGGAACTTTTATGTCTGTTACAGTCTCAGGTAACCTTTTCAGTCATAGTCATCTTTTCAGGTTTTCAAATTCCACAGTAATAAATTGCAGTCTTTTTTTTTTTTTTTTTTTTTTTTTTGTCTTTTTTGTTTTTATCGGTACCGGGGATCGAACTCATGACCGCCTGCTTGCAAGGCAGGCGCTTATGCCGCTGAGCTAAACCCCCAGCCCCTTAAATTCCAGTCTTTAAAACCTGTTTGCTTTTATTTTGGTTTTGTGGTATATGGCCTTCACACTTAGCTACATCCTTAGCCCTTTTATTCTTCTTTTAAGACATGATTTCACCTAGTTGCTGAGTTCCCCAGACTGCTTTAGACCTTGTGGTCTTTCTGCTTCAGCTTCCCAGAGTGCTGGGACTGCAGGTGTGTACAACCACACATGACTCCTTAACCTGATTTTATAAATTTTCCATTTTACCCACTTTACCTAAGAGCTGGCCACAGTGGGCACATTCTCCATGGCACTTTTAACCACCAATTACCCCATAGGGCAGGCAGGCATTCATTTGATATGAGACTTTCTGGAACCTGATCTTCCATCTAAAATAAATTTCTGTGATAATGCAGTTACACACTACTCTGTTGAGTGTTGGTCAGGGTAACACTGTGCTGTATTTTGCATCATTTGTGATCTAGATACTCACATCAGCGTGAGTGGATGTCTTTTTAGAACAGTACCTAGGTCCCACATCCTACATGAGTTCAGCCTTTCTTAAAATGTTACAGCCTTATCTGAAGCTGTGCCATATGAGGACTTCATAATTATGAATGAAGTCTCTGTTGATGACAGCTATGCCTGGTCACTGACATCTGTTCCCTAGAGAGGCAATAGACTTCTTCCATGAGGATACAAATTGCACAATAAGTTTTGTTCTTTTGTAATGTTGGGGACTGAACCCGTGGCCCTTATACTTGCTAGGAAAGTGCTTTGCCACTAACCTACTTCCTCAACCCCTGTCATTTGCGTGTGCGGGTTGGGGGTGTGGAGACATGGTCTCACTGTGTAGTTGGGCCTGGCCTTGAACTGACTAGGCACAGCTAGCCTCAAACTTGTGGCAGTCTTCCTGCCTCAGCCTCCTCAGTTCTGGGATTACAGGTGCCTACCACCACGCCCAGCTCATGTGTTTTATTGGGGATCAGACTCGAGGTGGTTCTGTCACTGAGCCTACATTCTACATTTCTAACCCTTTTTTTCTTTGAGATAGGACCTTGCTAATTTACCAGCCTGACCTCAACCTTGTGGTCCTACAGCCTCAGTCTTTGGATAGCTCAGATCACATGGTTTCCTTTTTTTCCTCAGTTCAGTCTGCTTAGCCCATGACCCCCGTCATAGTCTTCACTCTCTGCTAAGATATACACCCCTCTACACAACTAGTAAATCTGGTAGATGTTACTAAAAATAATGAAAATTAATGCTTTCCTCAAGAAGCATCCACCTCTACTCCCTAACTTCCTCAGCCCCACTGATTCAAGTTTCATACTGTGTCTTCCAGCTCACCACCACACCCTGGCATCACACCAGGACTACTATAAAACTTGTTTCCTTTTGGTTCAACACAGCACCACATTTTGAAATTATTTTTTTCCTTTTATTTATGGCACCCTTTAGTTGGGCCCCAAATCAACATCACTAGACCGTATACGTAGTTTTCTTTGCTGACTTCGGCCATGTTATCGTTAGTGAAACCATTCTCCTAACGTGCAGTGGTCACTAGGCATCCCCATGGTTCTCTCATTGGGTACCTCCTTCCATCTGAAGGTTTCTGGGCAAAATGGAAGTACTGTAGTCCCCTTCATCCATGGGATCCTTTCCATCATGTCCATTGGATAGCTAAAATTGCAGATAGTACCGCACTCTATGCAATTTTTTACATAAATATAATATTTCTCAAAATACCCTATTATCCTGTAGTCACTGTTTACTTTTCAGTACTCACGTCCTTGGACATGCTAGGTAAGTACTTCACCACTGAGCTATACCCACAGCCCTCTACTTCATTTTTCAGACAACTGGGCAAGTGAAACTGAATATAGAGGACTACAGTATTGATTTCTGTGTTAGTAGGATAAGCCTTGGTCAAAGGTGCTGCTCTTTTTTTTTTTTTGTTTGTTCTTTTTTTCTTGTTTTGTTTTGTTTTTGGAGCGGGGGATCAAACTTACGACCTAGTGCTTGCCAGGCAGGCACTTACACTGCTGAGCTAAACCCTCAGCCCCTAAAGGTGCAGCTCTTATTGGCACCAGTTTACCAGCCTTTGTAAAATAAAAACACATAACTGTCAACCAGCAATTACCACCCTTTAGAATCTTGCTTAAAAAAACAAATACTGCTTAATGAGTACAGGAAATGGTCTATTTTACAACAAGCCTGTGAGTCTGCAGTTTAAGTAGAATCAATCACTGATGTACACTTGGCTAAGTACCCGCTGTCTGCATTCCTTAATTACAGGACAATCTGTGAGGAATAGGTCAAGACGTAAAGATGTGTCCCAACATAACGAGCATCTTTCAGCAGCTTCCCTTGAACTCTGAGATGCCTGACTTGTTTTCGTGGATTTAGATGGCGAAGTATTTGATTATAGACTGTGTTCCATACCTTCATCATGTGACTAGTAGGACTCTTCTTAGTTGTCGCCTTTGTAAAAGATAACTTTGGGCACTTAGTCTGTCATCCTCAATTTTGAGTACTCCACAACACAGGTACTGTGAAAAATGTTGATGCACCAAACCAGAATGGATTGGTTTATAATGTTTTTAAAATTCATATTTTCCTAGGGCTGGAGGTATAGCCTTGCTATGGATCTTCAAGTTTTCAATGGAGAAAACCCCTACAAATTGGAGGACTATGAAAAAGACTTTCAGTATTTTCCATGCCTTACTAATCCCATGGAAACCCACACTGAAGCCACACTGTGTGAGTGTGAGGAGTGCTGGAGAGCATTTGCCTTTTCCTCACACCTAAGTCAGTATGTAACAATTTCTTCTGGAGAGAAATCCCAAAAATGTAAGGAATGTGGGAAATGCTTTGCTACTTTCACTCAACTTTCTGCCCACATGGAAGTCCATACTGGAGAAAAACCCTTCCAGTGTAAAGAGTGCGGAAAATGCTTTACAAGTAACACATACCTTAACGATCACAGGAAAATTCACAGTGGAATAAAAGCGTACAAATGTGTGGAATGTGGGAAAGCCTTCCTGAGGTGGTCAGGCCTGACTGAACACTTGCGAGGAGTTCACAGTGGAGAGAAGCCCTTTGTGTGTAAGGAGTGTGGGAAAGCCTTCTCGAGATCCACTCAGCTCAATGAACATGCCAGAACCCACACTGGAGTCAAACCCTATGAATGTAAGGACTGTGGGAAGGCCTTCACTCAGTACTCGGGCCTTGCCACCCACGTGCGCATCCACAGTGGAGAGAAGCCCTTTCAGTGTAAGCAGTGTGGGAAAGCCTTCACTAGGACCTCAGGCCTTATTCACCATGTGAGAACACACACAGGGGAGAAGCCTTTTGAATGTATTCATTGTGGGAAAACCTTTATCACTGCCTCCCACCGTACTAAACACATGAAAATTCACAGTGGGGAAAAGCCCTTTGTGTGCAATATCTGTGGGAAGGCTTTTGTGTATTCCACATCCCTCAACATTCACATGCGAACACACACCGGAGAGAAACCTTACATCTGTAAGGAATGTGGGAAAGCGTTTGCTGTTTCCTCCCGCTTAAGCAAACACGCAAGCGTTCACCATGGGGGGAAGGCCTACAAATGCGAGGGGATCAGTGTTACTATTTAATAAGCCCCTTGTATACACCTCTAAGTAATGACAGTGACACCAAAGATCATCAGTTAGTTTTAACTGCTTTGTGTGAGTTGTAATGGCTCCCACTGGCATAGGTGCCACATGAGTATCTGACGAAAGTTCCCATCTGGAACTTTTTTTTTTGGTAGCCCCGGGGATGAACCCCAGGGCCTCACACGTACTACGCAAGCATTCTACTGAGCTACATTGCTGACCCCTTCAAACTGTTTCACACATAGCTGAGTCTGAGCACTTTTTGGGGTCATGGTAAGGTCACTACGCAGGTCAACCTTGACTGGCGCTTGCGCCTAGTGATAGTAGCATTAACAAACGTTATGCATGGGTGTCCAACCTTGGGCTTGCTTGGCCTCATTGTTTGCGGCACATAAAGTATATAATATAGTCGATGTATATATGTAACAAAACTTTCTTTTAAAAATACTTTATGATAATACTAAAATGAAATTACACAAGCAACCTATAGCTGTAGGGTGGACCTACCTGCATGACATGACTGAGCAGATTTGGCTCTGTCCCTTGTTGGTTAATGGCTGAATATTCATCTGAAAATTCTCCCGAACCCCAGCTAGTCACTTGACACCCCTCCAAGTGAGCCCACTGATTGTGCTAAGCATGCCAAGAAGGAAATGGTCCCTGTCTGTTCTTAACCACTAGGTCACTTTATAGCCAATTATCCCTGTTTCCCTATGACATCTAAGAAGTCCACCTTGTTTTGCTCTCTAGTTCTAATTGGCAGTCGCTCTGCTAGTGTAACCCAGTTTGTTTTCTGTTCTATTGAGATTGCTGATATCCCAGCTATGGATCCCATCTGTGGTCTCTTTATCAAATGGTTTTTCAGCTAGACTCTGTATTTTCTGTCCAAGCTTTCCTAGTTTTTGCGATATAAGTAATGTGATTTTTCCAAATTTCCAAATTCTGATTCCTTTTAGTGTAATCATTCTTTGTTGGATCCAGATCTCAGTTTTTAAATTTTACTACATGTAGTGAAGTGGAGCCAAGCTCCTCCTTTAACACTTTAATTACAAACCTCAGATGAGTTTTCAGTTGTATCACTCCTCGTTTCTCCTATCACGGATTGCTTGAGTAAGCTGTGTTCTGGCATGGTCTTTACTCAAACATTGCTTTTCTCTGCCTGCGCTCTCCTTCTGTCCCTCTCCTAACCATCCCTTTACTTTGATGCTGGGGATTGAATCTGTCCTAGGTGAGTGCTCTACCTTGGAGCCACATCATTAGTTGTTTTGTTTGTTTGGTTTTACATTTTATGGTACTCTGGATTGAACCCTGTGCTTTCATAGTGAGCTACATTCTCACCATTTCATTTTTATTCTGAAATACACTATTACTAAATTGCCTTGTCTGGGCTTGATCCTCTAGCCTGTCTCCCACAATGCTGGGATTATAGGCTTGCATAGCAGACCCACTTTGAAGTTTTGAGAAAGAATCTTGGTAAATTGCCCAGGCTAGCCTTGTACTTGTAGTCCTGGAGCCACAGTCAAGTAGCTGGGATTACAGGGTTGTGCTGACTCACCTTGTTTTTCTGTTCCTCATTCCCAAATGACCAATGACCTGTGTACCACTTCATGTCCTGTATTTTTTTTTTTTTTTTTCATTTTGGAGATGGTCTTGTTATGTAGTTCAGGCTGGTCTTGAACTCTTAGCAATCCTCCTGCCTCAGTCTCCCAAGTTCTGGGATAACAGGCATGCATCATCACACCTGGCTTAATTGTGATTTCTGGTGTGCACTTAAAAGCATTTCCAGGGCCAGGAATTTAGCATTTGCCTGGCAAGTGTGAGGTCCTCAGTTCGATTCCTGGTACAAAAAAAAAGCATTTTTAGCTTTTGCCTACTACTCAGATCTACTTTCACATTTTTAGAATTTCTTTTTACTGCAGTACCACTTCTAAATACCAAAATCTATCATGCATTGCTTAGGCTCCATAACAAAATTCCACAGAGCAAATGACTTAAAGTTTTATTTTGAATTAATATAAAAATGGAATTATACAGTATTTTAACTCCAAATATTGTGTATACTCATCTAAGTATTGTAATCTTTTTCTTTCAGTTTTCTTCACAATCCAAAAAGTTACATTTGTAATCCCATTGAGATGTTATTGGAATCCCAGCAAATTAATCTGTCACCCCTAGTGCAACCCATAGCAAGAGTGAAGACACCAAGACATTCCAAGCTAAGGGCAACCAAGGGGTCCTAAGTCTGTCTATTCCCTGTGAGGATGTGTGGACAAAGGCCCTGATCCTAGACCTCTTCAAGAATTTATTATTGGGGTGGCCCAGAGATAAGTGACAGTGAGGATGGCAGCAATTATGTAACCTGAGCTGGCTAGCCAGGTGGGGAGAAAAGCATCTTTGCAAAATGCAGAGATAAGGATAAATTCACATAATCCAATTAAGGTAGCAACTGAATTGTTTTAGGAGGCTGTTGCTTTGGTGTCTGTAAATTTTTGTGCCCTGGGGAGTCATAGCCTCTTTACCTTGAGGCTCATGCCCAGAGCTATCGGCTCTCTAACATCTCGCTGTGCTCATATCCTATATGGAGAACACTATTCGAGGAGACTGTTGGCTTTACAAATTACATATCAGTACCTCAGCTAGCCTTATTTGTAATGTTTAGAGCCAGTTGAAGAGAGAAGGAAATGGCATAGCCAGCTCTCTACATATGAGTACAAAGGAGTAAGTCTCCAATAATCAAAGTTGCAGCAATTGTTCTGCATTCAAGGGGAGTCACTTTTCTCCCACAATACAGAAATTCATTTTCTCTCATTTCTGGAGATTGGATGTCTTAATGTCAGAAGAACCAACATGGTTGAGTCCTGTTGGGGGCTGTCTCCCTGCCATGTAACTGCCTGCCTCGTTCTGTCTTCACATGACAGACTGAGAACAAGTTCCCTTTCTCCTCCTCCGTTGTGATCCTCAGCTTCCCAGAGTGCAGGGATTATAGGTGTGTACCACCACACCTAGTCTGACCATTTTTAATATTTAACTTGATTATGTTTACTATTGTTATAAAAGATTTTTGTAGATCTATTTGAGTAGCACTGGCATGCAATTTTTCTTTCATGAGAAGAAAAATAAGGGTTAAAGGTGTAGTTCATTGATAGCACACTTGCCTAAGCATTCATGAAATCTTGAGTTCAAGTTCCAGTACCATGAAAAAAATAAAAAATCAGATGAAGTAGAAAAAATGCATTAAGAATATCTCAGGTAGAGTACATATGTGGAAGGCCAAGTTCAATCCCCAGCACCCCAAAACAAAAAAGTGGCCATTACGGTATTTAGTAGATGTATGTAGACGATGTCAGTATATTACTGCAGTGGGATGTATTCCTGTTTCACGTAATTTCATAACTATGAGGTTAAATTACCCATATTTACGGTAATTGTTTACTGTCATAGGTGTCCCTTTTTCTAGTTTTAAGCAGTTTGCTCTCTTTCTGTTATGGTTATAGAACAACTATGGATTGCAGCATCTTAAAGCAATTTGATTGTTTTTCTAGGTACGTATATATTTTTTTCTTATTTTTTAACATTTCCTGGTTGTATAATTTAGTTTGGGCATTGTTTGCATTCTGGGATGATTATTTCATGCATTCTTTCTCTTGTGTTAGTCTCAGCAGAAGTATTCAGATTTGTGATCTCCCCTTCCCTTTCTTGCCATCATAGGGATTGAACAGATGTTTCTCATATTAGGCAAGTGCCCTGCCACTGAGCTGTATTCTAGCCAGGTTTATAGTTTGTCTTGAAGTCTTTCTGCTGGGTGTGTAGCTGCTATTAGAGTGCTTGCCTACCATGTACAAGGCCCTACGTTCAATCCTTAGTACTGAAAAAAAAAGTTAATTCCTAACATGCTATTCCTTTCATTATGTTGGTTACTTACCTGGACATATGCACTTGGTTTTCTTTTTTTGGTTTGTTTTTGGTGCTGGGCATCAGACCTAGAGCTTGCTTATGCTAGGCATGTGCTCTTTATCACTGAGCTACACCCCTGCCTACATCCATCCAGATGTGACTTTTTATATATACTCGAGCAGGAAATGAAAAAAATCTGAATACTTGAAAACTTTCGACTAATAATCCTTTTCTTGTACCTTGACATTTAGTTCATTATGTGTAATGTAATTAGTAATAAATTTGGAATCATCTCTGATCGTTTTTTTATTTATCTTGTGCTTCCTTATTGTAATATATTTTTCACTGAAATAATTTTAATCTTAATGCTTGAAATTTATTCCATTATATGCTATCCTAAACTTTGAATTCATTTTGAATTTCTCTTTGGTAATACTGTTTCTCTCCACCCAAGTGGACTATTTGCATAGTGACTCCTACTTTTTACCTCCTGATTGCACACACCTGAATATCACCAAGTGCAGTTCAGGCTCACATGAGCCATTGAGCAGATATGATGGAATCTCTTGACAAAGTCCCAGCACATCATGTAATGGATTACAAACAGCCACATCTTTTGAAGTTATCCCCAAAATGGTGGAGTCTTTGTTTCCCGTTTTGTGTGAGCTGGTCTTAGGGCTCAATTTGAACAGAAATCAGAACTGTGCTGTGCCAAGGACATCTGCAGATGGTTTTTTATAATAACCACTATTTTCAGCTGATAGGTTATTGAGTTGTTTGCTACACAGTAAAAACAAATTTGCAACACAAACTACTTGGTATACAAGCTGATAAACTTTTTTTCATAACATTAGAGGAGCCTCCAGAACTACGCTCTTGGTAGCACTGAAAAATTGTTAGTGGTAACAGGTACTGAGCATCTATCTCTGTAAACTGAGATGAGAGGGAAAAAAGAAAGAAAAGAAAAGAGAAAAGAAACAGAGAAAGAAAAGCTATGAGCTCATCTTTAATCTGCCTAGGAGCCCAGGGCACTCAGCACAATTGGTGGCAGAAGAAACAGTCGACCGGAAAGATGCAATAAGGTTGTTAATACACTGGAGAATTTT